GGTGGGTTGGTTGTTGTTTATGAGGGGAGAGGGGGAGCGGTGAATGAGGGGCCGACATGTCAGCCGTCAGGGCTGGCTTTATTTTGACCTTTCTACATCTAACAAGTCTATATCACAGAAAAAGAAGCAACTCGTCATTATGCTAACTCGACAGAAATATGTTCTTGTGTGGTCGTTACACAAGCATCGCTGACTACCTAGGTACTCCGTAGTGTATCTACATCCACCGGGTCATTTATAAACAGACCCCTCAACACCCAACTACACTGGCCAACCACTCTTCGACGGTTGTTGAAAATTCTCTATTTCAGCTCAAGACGCACCAGACAAGATGCACTAGGCAAAATGGTATAGAAAAGAGCTAATGCAAAACACAAAATATTTACAGAAAAAAGAGCCGTTTCAACCGGCTTGCAGTTGGACAGCTCTATCCGAGACAGTCCAACGCGCAAAACAGACCATGCCGGGTCAGGTATCACAATGCTTTCCAGAAGAACAAGAAATTTTGGCACATTTACTCCTCGAAGTTACCACCAACGAAAGCCCAGTTAGAGCCCTCAATCTTACCCTTGAGGAACTCATACACGGTGAAAGTGACAGCCTGGCCGGGAGCAACACGCATCACACGGGGGGGTGATACCCTTGTAGAAAGCGCGAGCACCCTCGGTCTTGAACATATCCTTGGCAATGACCATGATGCGAGAAACAGCAGACTGACCGGGCTCAGCACGGGTCTTCTGGAGGCGGGTCTTGATGGTGTCGATGGGAGCGTTAGAGAAGGGGCCGACGGCACCGGAGATCAGACCAATCACGGTGGTCTGGTAAGCGGGCAGCTGGCTGTTACCGTACTCGGGTTGCCAGCGCTGAAGGGCAGCCTTCAGTTCCGTGTATGCGGTGAAGTTGGCGGCCTGGTTGGTTCCTTGTCGGAGAGCTGTCAGGGAGACACCGCGGTACAGGACGCTGAAACCTTCTTCCTTGATCACGGTGAAGAGTGCGTGCGGGGCGCTGCGGTACTTCGGGGTGTCCAGGGGGTCAGCCAGACTGTGGTGCTGGGCCTGCAGACGAATCTTGATGACTTCCATGGGGTTGACGACGGCTACGGCTTCCGTAACACCAGCGGCGAGACCAGCTTTGGGGATTGTTAGCTTTCTGTTGTGCATCTTTTCGGCTTGTTCACCGCTTCACATACCTAGGAAGGTGGCTTTGCTAGTCACGACGCCTGTCTCCTTATCGGCCAGCATGCCCTTATATGACTCGTATGAGGTGAATCGAATCGCCATCTTCGGGATGATACCACCCAGCACGGCACCAAGACCCTTGTACAGACCCAGAGCGGTCTCCTTTTGCACGATTTGAGCACCAGTGGCCACGAACCCGCGCGGCTTAGCCTGATCCAGCGAACATGATTAGCAATGGCTTCAACTACCAAATGGAATTCTCTCCAACTCACCCCAGGCGCTGTGGCTCTTCTTGACAGCTGCATGCGGACCTTGATTGTGTCTAGCGGGTGGCATACGAGGGCCTCCATCATACCGGCACCACCACCAGCTAATCAGGCAAAGGTCAATAGCTGTACATCCCAAAAAGGGGAGGTCTACTCTACCGATCAAGTTGACCGCGGGCGATGTGCGCTTCTGGTTGGCAGTTTTGGCGGACATTGTTTCAATATGTGGTATATATGCGGAGCAATTGCACTTTTGTTCACGAAGATCGAATATTTCACGGAAATTCTTCAATTGACCGTCTCGGAAATCAAGTTACGAAGATCTTCCGATTGTCGCAAGGGAAAGCCGAAATTGCGGAGAAGCGGAAGTATACAATCCCGGAGAATAAGCAGAAACAACCTGCAATTTGAAAAGAGGGTATATCTGGAGGGTCTGATGAAGATTAAGAGATCAATTGTAAAGACCTTGAATCTTTTCTTTAAAAAAAGAAGACCGAAGTTCCACGGGTATATGATTCACGAGGCAAAGTGGCGGCAGTGCCAAACTTTGTGGGGAGCTATGACGGGGAAGCGGAGGAAGCTGGACGAGCGGAAGTGTATATGACCTCGCACAAATGAGAAGAACGGAGAAGAGAAAGAAACGAAAAGAAAAGAGGTAGCAGACTAAATAACTTGCCGAGGGAGATCTTCTATATAATAATTATCCTATCGGTACCGACCACAACGTGTAGGGCCTTCACAATCCCGAGGCCTTCGGTAACAAGGGCGGCTCTCTATCCAGCGCGGAATGAATCACCCCAGATCTCCAATGATCAGATTTCACATGTCTTTTTTTAAATTGTCGTCATGGTTTTGGTAGGCTTGTGATTGTATACTTTATTTAGAGATTAGATTGTACAATGTAAAAGAAAACGTCTAAAATGCCCGTGCCTTGTCCAACTACATCTGCATTATCCTTACACGCAACCATATATCCGAAGACTACAACATTCTAGAAGCCCCCCCTAATATTTCCAGGGAGCTAAATTACTCCGCGGATTCTCAACAGTTCGGGACTTGAACTTCGGAGGAAAGTAGCGAAATCCGCTGGCTATTTGCGGGTGATCTCGGGCGAACGCTAGAGCTCCTCTCAGCCGAGGTCCATGTTCAGAGAGGGTCATGGGACATTCTGAGTCAGATGGACAATTAAAGTATTCGACAGTAGAACGTGGGGCTTGCTGTAGGCTTGGCTAAACTTGATCTTTATAGTCCGGGGTTGTAGATTCTTATAGAAATGAACATATGGGCAAGTGTCACAGGTGGTGACGTTGATAGATCCGTCATTTTATCGGATGAACGTTTTACCGAATTCCTGGTTGATCTATAGAAACCTTGCATTCTATATACAAAAGATCTACGGACTATCTGTACAATGAACGAAGTATTTGTTGTCCAAGATATGAGATCAACAGGGTCGGCATGCGACATGTTTCAAGATCGACTCAAATCACATGCACTGTCTATCATATCCAGCATCATTCGACCCGAATGATAAGATTCGGCTTCCCGATTTCGGTGATGTCGTTCTGAACTTGCAGATTTGATATACAAAGATGCACAATATTTATGACATGTCCATAACCATCAATTATACTGCAATGTACTCCGTACATTGTGATAGTACAAGGTACAAAGCACAAAGTACAGCTTCACACAGATTATGTGATTCCTGTACGCGCTATCACTCCGAGGGGTCGGACTAACGCCGATTACGCAATTTTCAAATACCCCTACATATCCCCTACATACCCCTACAAGATCTACTCGCCTTATAGAAGCCAAACTATCCACGAGAGTACAATATCTATGTCCTCGTCCCTGGACTAAACAAACCCAAACAAAAATGGGAACAGCTCCGGACACCGCCCTGCCGCGGTGGCAGCGAGTCCTGAAACGCATCGCAAGTCTAATCCTCCACCAATGGCTCTTAATCGGGATGGGCGTTGTCTGCGCCCTGGCATACTGCTTCCCGAACGTTGCCAAGAACGGCGGCATTATCCGCTCCGAGTACAGCATCATGTACGGCGTGATCGCGATAATCTTCCTAATCTCGGGCCTGAGCATCCCCCGCCAAAAGCTTATTTCGCATGCCCTGAATTGGCGCCTTCATTTGATCGTGCAAGTCATTTCGTTTCTGTTCATTCCTTCCGTGGTGTTGGCCATCGTGCACATTATCCTCGCTGCAGATCCTGGGGAGAAGATTGATCGCGCTGTGCTGGCGGGGTATATCTTCACTGCTTGTATTCCGACGACGATTGCGTCCAATGTTGTCATGACGAGATCGGCGGGCGGCGATGATGCCGCTGCTTTAGTGGAGGTCTTGTTGGCTAATATTCTGGGCCCGTTCGTTACGGCTGCTTGGACTATTTCATTGATACCCAAGATGGCGGTGTTTGATCCCTGGCGGTTTGGGGGTGGGAATTTGGGGAGTATGTATAAGGAGGTCTTTCAGCAACTGGGACTCAGTGTATTATTGCCGCTGTTTATTGGACAGCTGGTGAGGTGGACTTGGCCTGATCGCACTGCCTTGGTCCTGCAGAAGACCAAGCTGCCTAAGTCGGCTACTTTCTGTCTGTTATTGTTGATTTGGTGAGTACAACAAGCTTTCTATGCGAAGAACTTTTCTTTTTTTCGTTTTCCTTTTCCTTTTCTTTTTCTAACCCAAAATTCCTAAACGCTAGGGCCACATTTTCCTCGTGCTTCGCAACAGGAGCCCTCCAAACCCTTTCCGCGCAGAGCATAGTCTTCGTGGTTCTATTCAACATCATACTCTACATTACTTTAACGGCAGTATGCTTTTTCTGCTCCAGACCACCGCGAATTTTCGGTTCTCGACGCTGGTCGAAGCCCATATTCAAACGCATGTCTCCGGAGGAAACTATTGCAGTGTGCTTTTGCGGACCAGCAAAGAGTACCGCACTCGGTATCCCGCTGCTCTACGCAATGTGGCAGCCTGTTAATCTATACCTAAAAGCGAAGACATCGGTGCCGGTGTTGCTCTATACCACGGAGCAGATATGCGTGGCGCATTTCTTCGTTCAGTTGTTCCGGTGGTGGCATGCTAGAATCATTGAGAAAGAGGATGTGGATGGCAGTACGCGCGATAATGTTGAGATTGCTATGGCTGAGGATACACGTACGGATCACGCTGGACGTGTTCATGAGCATACGACTGTTTGATACCCGTATAGAATAGATTATTTGGTTTGCATTTCCTCTGTGGCGATTACTGCTCTCTGTCCAACTCACTCGACTCCTGGATAGTCAGGCCCAGAGCAGCTTCCAAAATAGCTCCAGCTGTTATTTTCACCGAGATTCCCATGAGTTACAGCCTTCTTAGGCTCATGATGTAGTATGAGTGCGGGCAATATATGCCTAAAGAGGAACCCTCGAGGTAGGTGGGTCCGGTAGACTCCCGAGGTCCCTCCGGGATGACGTCCACCTGCAGGTAACATTAATAATCCAAGCTGAAGTTGAGTATTCTTGGAAGTTCTACGAGATATCAACACTATTTCTTCCTTTATTCTCTGTTACAAAAGCTTGCCTCGATATAACTACATCTGCCAAAATGACTCTAAGTGGACAGACTGCCCTCGTTGTAAGTGGACTGCCCACGATCACAAACAAATTCTCATATTGACCTCGGGAACTACATCTATAGACCGGGGCCTCAATGGGCATCGGTGAAGCAACAGCAAGAGCCCTAGCCAACGCCGGTGCAAATCTGATTCTTCTCTCCCGCTCCGAGGTAAGCATCATATCTCGTCTACCAAGGACCCTCAAACATCGAAATTGACATACATGATACATAGGACAAACTATCCAAACTCACAGACGAGTTAAGCAAGCAACACCCTCAGATCAAGGTGATCTACCGAACAGCCGATGTAGGAAACTACGAAGAAGTCGATGCAGCGGTCGATTCATCAGTCAAAGAACTCGGTGGCATCGACATCCTCATCAACAACGTACGCTCAAAAATCCCGAATTATCAAGCTCTCCCAAGCTGTTTATAGCCAGACATCCACTAACAAATCCCAAGGCCGGCCTCGCCATCGGTGCACCAAACGCCTTCCACAACCTCAAAATATCAGAAATCCAAACAATGATCTCAACAAACGTCAACGGCCCAATGTACGTAGCTCACTCTGTGCTAAACCGCAGTATGCTCTCGCGCAAGGCAGGGACGATCATAAACGTCACCTCGGTCACAGGTCTAGAAGTACCTCCTTTTACAGGCGAGGCAGTCTACCATTCCAACAAAGCGGCGCAAGAGGCGTTCACTAATTCGTTGCGGAATGAGTTGAGTGGGACTAATATCCGGGTGTTGGCGTTGAGGCCTGGTGTTGTTGCGGGACATTTCCATTCTCAACGCATTGGTCATGATCAGGCGCAATATGATGAGTTTTTGGATGGATATACGTAAGTTTTTTATTTTGCCGTTTACTCTATCCGATCGAGGAGAGTTGCTAATGGTGTTGTTGATAGGCCTCTCATTGCGAGCGATGTTGCTGAGGCTGCTGTTTATATGCTCAACCAGCCTCTTAATGTCTCTATTAAGGCTTTGGATGTTGTTCCTTCCGGTGAGTGTTCAAGTCTTCTATCTGGGGACACATTGGATAGCTCATGCTAATATTTCGCAGCTCAACGGTCTCTTACTGTCTTTGATCGGCAATGGAATGAACGTAATGGGCAATGAGCCAAGACACTCTATGAAGGTTGTTTTTGAAAACTGCTGACTGAAACAAACGAAAAATCGGACTTGGATAGAAGTAAATTCAACCACACCTGGTGGCAATCTGATATGTATGCATAGAATACATGAACATAGAGCATCACAAAGGGAATCACAAAAGAAAAATGTATGCAAAACAACCCCCGAGAATCATGGGGGAGCCAACTTGATCAAGAAAAAATGTACATGATAACCATGCAATGTGCGCAGACATCAAAGTGGCCTGTATCTCAGATATAGCTCACTTTGACTCCCATTCCAGCCGTAGCTTTGACCTTCTGCCAAGCGCCATCTGTAACCCGTCGGATGCGATCACGCACACCCTGCCGGCTGATCGCCATCAAAATGCCGACGACGAAAAGTAGAGTGCGCACTATTGACATGGGATTCCCAGACACAGTCCGGATAATATGACGGAAGATGTTGCGCAGTCCGGTGGCCACGGCCCGAGTTGAGCGACCCCGGGGTTCGGCCTTATCCTGCTTCTTGACGTTTTTGGAGCCGGACGAGAGAGAAGTTCGTGACTTGCCATTTGGTGGCTTATCTGTCGATTGCCTGGCTCCTTTGCCTTTAGGAGAACCATTTGAACGGTTTTTCTCAATTCCGTAGTCGACCTCGCTAGTATTACGCTTATGCCCATTGGACTGTAGTCGCGCAGCGGCTGCCGCTGCTTCTTCGGCTTCGCGACGTTCATCCTCTCGTTGTCGTTCAAGCTCAGCATCTTTGGCTCGCTGTAATTCGACTGCGCGCATCTCACCCCGCTCCTTCTCCTCCTTCAGACCTTCGAGGGTCTGTAGGAAGAGATCTTTGCGTTCTTCGTCCAGAACTTCGCTCAAATTGATGAATTCGGTCGAGTATTCCCACTCATCATTGCGGGGGAGGACGTGCAAAGTAAAGAGCTCGATGATCTTTACTCTAGCAGTTAGATCTTTCGGGGTATCGGCCCCGCTGGTCGTACGCATAGGGCGCTGTTCGTAATCATCGGATGCGTCGTGTAGACGATCTGTAAGGTCGAAGTTGGGTTGTCCATAGGAAGAGAGGTAGGTCTCAAGGCGCTGTTGGTTCAGGGATTGCGAAGAGGAGTGGGTTAGAAGAAGGGTAGCACTAACATCGCATGGTTAGTGTCTCAATTTGGGCCGGCGGGGGTGGAGTTGAATACTAACAGGTTGTAGACCACTTCGGCATCCACCGAACCCTCATGGCCTTGGTACCCGACCTCGACCACAGTTTCCCAAATCGCACCTTCCCTGACTTGCGAGGCAATTGCTTTCCACTCCTTCTGGCCAAATTGCTTCTTTCCCTCTTCTGCTCCGAGATCGACTATTGCGCTGAGGAGGGTGATGTAGAGGTTCCACACCTTGATCCTCCACGTGCCGGCAGCTGTGGCGATCGGCGCGACCGGCGTTGAGTGCTCGCCATTTGTGTGCTGGTCCTCTGGTGTTGAAGGCGTAATAATCGGTTGGAGGTTTGTGAGGGCTTCTGGTAAGCGTCGTGTGAGGTAAAGTTGGGAGGCTTTCTTGTATGTCTTGGAGCACAACTTTGTGGGGGAAGCTGAGGATGCGGCGTGAGAGAGAGACGACATTGGGGATCCGTTGGCCATTGTGAAGGCCGAGGTATGAAAAAACAATGTTTATCTTCAAAAATCAGGTATACGAAGTAAAAGGAGTAATTATAAAAGGGAAACCATTCAAGTGAAGCGTGTCGGGGCTGTGATCGGCTCTCTTCGTTTTCCCTCGGCTCGTCCAAGTCCGGGGTCGGTCACGGGACTGGCCTGTGAGATCCGGCATCTCATGTTTATATTGTGGCTTCAGATTCTATCATTCTATATTCTATCGTTCTATCGTTCTATCGTTCTATCATTTCCGAATCTATATTATTACAAGCGTAGTAGCTTATCCCTTGTGATTTTCTTTTTACATGCCTTTTTAGGTGTATATGAAGGGGGTCAAAAGCATTACTTTGTTCAAGACAGTTTTCTATGTATAACCTTCGATTTTACATTGGTCCCTACGTAGGTACTCTCCCAACTGTTTTAGTTAATGCATCGCAGGCTGGATCTATGAGAGTAACAGCGTGCTATTCCGATTGAATCTTGTGGCAATGAACAACATCATCGGGGTCTAACCTCGGTCATTTATATACTCCCAACTTAGACAACTCTCAGAGTTAATATAGATTTTGCTAAGAAATTCTTGATAAAAAGTACAAATATATTCGTTACATAATTCATAGAGAAGTAAAATCGGGGTTGATCCTCCAGATATGTCATTTAAAAGCCTCGAGATCTTCTCTGGTATAACTATTTCCTCAACTCCCTCTCTCTTCTTACTTTCTTCCTATCACAACTCCGCGCCATAAGACTTAACAACCAAGTAGACCAGCAAGTTTTTCAAGCTCTCAGTTTTTCATCAGATCACCCTTTTGACAACCTGCAAGAGCAAGGCGCTTTCTGATCAATGAAACTCGGATACCTGCCTTCCCAAAGCATACTCTCTCCTTTCAGCTTTCGGCAATCCAGACCCCAACAAAGTCCCTTTCGCCTCTTATCTCCATTCACTAAGCTCATACTTTGAGACTGTTCTCAACGAACCAAGATGGATGTCACGGCCGTCACCTTCCCCGATTGTCTCCCCTCCATCCTCAATGACATCTCCATGAGCTGCTTCGTGTCCGTGGACTTCGAGCTGTCTGGGGTGGTTTTCAAACCAAGTACACCACAATCGCGACTTCAAACTGTACAGGAGCGATATGTAGAAGCCAAGGCGGCCGCGGAGCGGTACCAGATTCTCCAAGTTGGGCTGACAACTTGTCATGAAGACCAGGAAAATGGTACGCAATCACCCCCAATTTAAGACGCATCTCGCTAATTATCTACAGCCACCTACACGCTGAAACCATACAACATAAACCTGAGTCCAATCACCCAGCATGAGATGGACGTGAATCGGAATTGGACATTTGGAAGCCGCTGTATGTCCAATATCCACGACAAATGTTGAGCATACCACTAATATATTCCTGGACAGCAATGGAATTCTTGCTCGCAAACCACTTCAGCATCGACCATATGTGCACCTTCGGTGTTCGATACCTATCTCGAGAGGAGGAAAAACTAGCAATCAAAAGAGCTGCGCAGAAATGTCAGTCACGGAATCCCGTCCAAGTTGCGGATATTAAAACGGACGATCATGAAACTCTGGAGTTCCTTGAAGCCGTTCGGGTCAGCGTCAATGAGTGGCTGGCGCAGGGCGAGGTAAGATTTTATATCAAACATCTATCTGAGCAAATCAATTGACATGTATAGAACCGCCGTGAGTGGCTCAACATCCCGCCACCCAGCAGTGTGCAGCTTATTCCCGGCCCCGTACCTACCGGGTTGAGCAGCATGCAGAAATGGCTAGTGCACCGCCTTATCAGCGACGAATACCCCAACTTAACATCGCGGGGTGCGTCGACGTTCGTTCAGATCGAATTGCGGGACCCGTGCAATGAGCAATTTACCTTCGAATCGAAGCTGAAAGTCAAAAAGGAGCGAGTCCGGAAACATATCGGGTTCCGTTGGATCGCAGAAGCACTTGTGGGTGGAAGCCTGGAAGAACTCGAACCAGACGCTTTCCAGCCTCTGATGAAGATAATCGAAAAACCAACTTTCGGGATCCAGGAGTTGTCAGACAAAGTGAAGAGCCGGCTCAGGGAAAACAGACCGGTCCTAGTCGGTCACAACATGTTCTGTGATCTGCTCTTCTTCCACAGATGCTTCCTGGGCCCGCTGCCGGATACCCTCGCCGAGTTCCAGACCGTCATCCACGAACTATTCCCTTTGCTAGCGGATACCAAGTACATAGCCACTCATAACTGCGGCTCTCTAAACCCGATGTCTTCGCTCGAAGAGCTCAACACGACTTTGGCTGGAATAGAGAGCCCCAAGATAGGTAGGAGATGAGTTATATACTTACACAACAAGCGAGCACAACTAACCATTTCGCAGAGATCGACCCTCGTTTTACAAAGTACAAGTTCCGTAACCACAACCACGAGGCAGGATACGATAGCATGCTTGCTGCCATGGCTTTCATCAAACTGGCAGGCGATATACAGCGCAGCCCTTCACGGCCGACGGTTCAGCCCCGGCCACAGACGACCACAGGACCCAGTTTGGTTGCCGGTATCATGGCACAGCCTAGCAATCAGCCTGTTTCCAAAAATGAATTCAGCAACTTCTTCGACGTTGACACTGAAACTATTCCGATGATTCAACCAACCCAGATTGCTCTCCCTGGCACATCTCTAGCTGACACTGGTTCCGGGCGTATCGCTCGCCTGGTCAACCAGGGCAAATTGCTGCCGCGTCTCGGTGATGTCTTCTGGGATACCTACGCAAACATACTGCGAGTGTTTGGTACACAGGAGAGAATGGTGCGACTAGGAAAGGAGGTGCCAAAACAGGAAGATCTACTTCTAGAGATGTAAGGGCAGGTGGTGGTTGATGGTTCTGGGGGGGGGGAATACTTGCCGAGCAGGGCGGAATGAGAAGAGAGGAATTGCAAATGAAAAAGGTAAAAATGAATTTCTATTGAAGTACATAACAAGACTAAATGTAAATGGGATGTTCGCGGCAGCTATCTAACAGTACGCCTTGATTTATAAAGAAGGTACCGCTAGCGAAAATTGGCCGCGACCTCAGGAGGAGCTCACTCTGAGCACCTTTAAATGATCAACCGGCCGTAGAGAACTGGACGCAGTGATGATAAGAGATGCTTGGAGAAGAGAAGAAAAGCGGAAGTCGATTTTTGAAATTTAAACCCTCCGGGCGGTGACTAAGCCCAATCGGGCCTGGCGACAACGTGACCTGGTTGGATCTTTTTCTCGGGGAGACAAGACATCGATCAGCCCCAAACACATTGGCCATTCCACCATTGAACATGTCGTCAGGATCTAATGGTGCACGGCGCGTAGCCTCGCTACTGCGTATGTTCAATTGATGTTTTTGCCCCAGATTCTTTAGGTCCAAAATAACTGACTCCGCGCGCAGGGCCATCAATAATCGACTCCGGCGTTTGCAGAAGCTGTCAAGAGACCCTTGGCCGCCGCAGCTATTCCTCCGCAGCACCAGCGATCGAATCGACCTCCGCGGCCGACCCAGCCGTGAAGCCAGCCTACATCATCAACGCGGGTGTAGTCCTCTCCCGCCCTCCCCAAGTCACCCGTGAACTCGAACCGTTCGAGAAAGCGTTCTTTTTCTACCAGAAGCGTCTGAACGAGCGTCTGGCCCTTCCCTTTACGAAATATTTCTACTTCAAGCGCGGAACACCAGCCGACGAAGACTGGAAGAAGAAGATCCAGGAGCGCCGGACTCCCGCGCGTGATATCGGAACTTACAACGCGTACGACAGCGATGCATGGAACGATGAGCTCCTGCTAGGAGCAAAGGAGTCTGAGCCTGAACACCAGGTTGAGGCTCTTGTCCAGGACGCTGAATCCACTGCCAATGCGACTTCCCAAGATACTAGCAAAAAGGAGGAAATCCCCCGGCCGTACCCTCGGATCACGGAGGCAGACAAGAAGAACGACCAAAAGAGTCTCAATCGTTTGCTTTCCCGCACTCTCTATCTCCTTGTTCAGTCTAAGGAGGGACACTGGAAGTTCCCCAGCTCGCCGGTGGAGTCGGGCGAGACCCTTCGCTTGGTGAGTAGTATACTTGTCGTCCTAACATTGGGTCTAGAAATTATACTAACATACCATTTCCCTTCTAGGCTGCTGAACGCACCCTCGCCCAGTCCGCTGGTATCAACATGAACACCTGGATGGTCGGCTTCCACCCGGTCGGATGGCACTCGTTCAACCCGCGCCGCTCCAAGAAGGCAGACAACGCAACCGAGATCGAGGCTCCCGGTAGCAAGATCTTCTTCTTGAAGTCCCGTATCATGGCCGGCCAGGCCGATCTGTCCGTCAACACCCAGAACCTGAAGGACTTCAAGTGGCTCGCCAAGGAGGAGCTCGCGCAATACCTGAACACGCAATACTACAGCAACATCAAGAACATGCTGGCCGACCGGTAAAGAGGTGGATACTGGGAAACAGCTGAGGGGAGCTGGGTGAGAAGGAGAACGCGAGGTTCAAGGTTCTTCAGAGATGAAAAGGCATACTTGTTCCGATACTATAGCGCACCATTGGTGGCGCATTGCATATACTCTTATTGCGCATGCCATGTATAACTAGAATTTTTTTTCCTACACTGTCAAATCAAATTCATTCCATTTCAATGTTGATATTAATCTTCGATTCCGCGGTATCATCAACGCCTCAAAACGCCACGCCATGTACAGAGTGAATCAAAATAGAAAAGAAAACGTGCAACGGCTCAGATCTAACACAAGCACCTCATGCCATGTTGAACTTCTGTCCCTGAACAATGGGCTGGTCCTTAGCCGACTTGCCCGCCAGATTCTTGCCGCACATGGCACAAGCTAGTATCGATATCAGCATTCCATTCGCAACGAAACCAAGTTTTAGAAAAAAAAACTTGGAAAAAAAGAATAGAACATACCATTCCTCTGATAAGCGCACCGCTGACAGAACTTCTTCCCCTGCTCCGTCTTCACCTTGCAGTTATCACAAGACGAAGCATAAGCCGCATAAGGATTCTTCGCTTTCGCGCTGAGGAGTTTGCTCTAGAAGGGGACATCAGTATAAACTCATCCAAAATAATAATCCATTTTAATAGTATCGAATGGCGAATTTTGTAACATACCTTTCCGATTCCCGTGGCGCCTAGCGTCGCCTTCGACTTTCCCTTGTCTGCACCGCCACCGAGTGTACTAGACGGCGAGCCGTAGTACATGTCGTTCTTGCGCTTGACACCGGGCGTGGCGAGCTCGGTGGCTTTGAGCTTCTTTTGGCATTTTGAGCAGACCATTTTTGGGGGCTGTGTGAGAAGATGTGAAGGGGGAGTTGTTAATCGAGAGTGAGAGAAGCTTGACGGTGAAAATGGAGATGATGTTATCGCGCATTTGCGCCACCGCCTGGTGACTTGCCAAGACGTTTTGTTTACTTGCTTCTTCAGGTTTTATGAGTCGCTTTTTTCGTTTGTCACGTTTTTTACTTAGTTTTTCATTTGGGGTTATTATTTGAAGCACACCGGAAATATAGTTCATATGATTTATACAAAATGGATCGCATTGCTATCATTCGCATCGTTCCTTGGGTATCAACATTAGAGCGTCGGTATATACATTAAAAGAGAGTATCACTATCAATGAAACTCCCACGATATCAAAAACAGGAGGAAATTAGCCAATACAACAGAATCCAACCTGAAGTTTCAACCTTACTGAGGCGAGACAGGGTGGTGAGACTGATTCTGTGCCGAATGATCCACGTAAGGAGAAACACCATATGGCTGCTGTTGAACCGGAGGGTACTGTCCACCAGAGAACTGAGCAAGATACGGCTGTTGAGTTTGAGCTGGAGGGTACTGAGACTGGTACTGTTGCGCAGAATACTTCTGCTCATCACCAAGCATGTGCCATTTAGAACAGCACAGGAGAATGCCAGTATAAGTGCCGACCCAGAAGATGAACTTCAAAACTGCTCTGACGACATCTAGGTATATCGGCCATTGAGAATAATCGGCCAGCACCAGGGTATAATGAATGTAGATGATAGCTGGGACGGAACACACTGCGAACCAGGAGATGGCGGCGGTGACGATTGCCATAGTGGGCATCTGGAAATGGCCAGTTAGTTAATGTGTGCTCTGCATAGGGAGTATGGGAAAAGTATTGAGTATTGGGGTGGGACTCACCTTTGACACAAAAATATCATTACCAGCCTTGTTAGCCGCGAAGATCATCCATGCGACGATCTCCATGGAAAATACCCAATAGATAACCTCAGACGCACCACTCAGATGTGTCCAGGTGAACTGCAGAGTATCGTCGTATCGGGAAGTCGCACTTCGGACGTAAGAAGCGACACACAAGCCCCATTCAGCAAGCGAGACCACGACGATAATAACAATGAAGATATAATGGACGATGGACACTGCCACGTGTGGCTTGTCAGAACCTCTGATATGGGCTAGGAAGTTATGGATGAGGTTCCAGAAGACACAGAAGGTGAGACAGATCCCCATGACTCTGAAGAAGTCCCAGAGCATCAGGTCGATCAAATAGTACCTTGTCACCTCTGCATCGGCGATATATAGGGCTTCCCAGACAACCATAGTGATTTGGCAGCTAAGAAGTGACCCACTAGTTAGTGAATTGTTGATTTTAGTCTAGATCTTTCCACATACCATATAAAGGAAGCCAAGGCGCCAATGAGTGCCTTCAGCGGGAGACCGCGATTCCTGATTTTGCATGTCCAGATGAGGAAGAAAATGAAGGTGAGAAGAGAGAGAATATTAAAGGCAAATTCGGTGAAAAACAAATCCTTGTTTGGGGAGTTGCCCAGTGTCAACAAAACCGTAGTGCTCCATGGATTGTAGTTGCTATGATAGCTCGAGGAAGAGCTGCCGCGTCGAGGGGCCATTTTTTCCGGCAATTTGGTCTGCTTGGTTCTAAAAGATCTAACTAATTCACCAGTTTTTACGAAATCGACGACATTTAAGTAAACAGGTCAGGGGGCTGAAGCAAATCCTCCATATGGGGTACACTAGCTTGGATTGAGGCTTAAGGGTCTTCAAATACGAAGCCAAGATGTCCATGTGGTGGATTTGATTGGTCCAAGCTCTTAATTATGCTTGGAAGGCAGAGAGCTTTAGAAGAAAAAACCCCTTGGAAATACGAGTTGAACTTCGCCCTGTTGACTTGGGGGGGCTGTCCTCGCGTTTTGGCCCCCTTTTGGGGGGACCTGCACTTTGCCCCGTGCATATTCGGTTACTCTGTACTCTGTACTCTGTACAAAGTACAGAGTACATCGCTAGCGTGGGGCACACTGTAGACTTGGAAATTTGTAATTCAAGAGAAAGGGAATAAAACGGAATTGAAGTTAGGCAGAGAACGGAAGAAGTTAAGTTGCGCCCGAAGATGCCAACACATCACCGTTAAATGAGGCGAAGGCAGAAGAAAGAAAAGTCGATCACAGACTAAAGACTTGGCGGTCTATAAAAAGAAATATATCAGCTGATACATTTTTGACTTCATCGTACGAAAGATGGAAGTAGGTGAAGAATGAAGATATACGGAGTAGATGTAGAAAGGATAAGATTAGGATGTGGGGAAAAGAAGGGCTTTTAACTATTTTCAAGGACTTTCTTATATTAGGTCTTCGTATACGTCTGATATTGTTTTATATCTCATATCTTACATCTTACATCTTACATCCACCAGGATTGCCCATGAAACATCCACGATTACCCTCTTCAGCCTCGTGCAGAACACAGAAGTGGAGAGCAAAACCGTGTGGCTGAGTCTCTGCAGAGATAAAAAAAACAAATGAAAATGAAAATGAAAAAACTGACCATTTGCCCTATTTTTCTGCCTATTCTTCTGCCTATTTTCCTGCCCATTTTCCTGTAAGCTGTCAAACCACCGACCAAGGAACATCCCAGACAATTCTCAGCTCCCCGAATCTGAGTTCCACCCAGTTCATGCGTCCTGCATTATTCCGATCGATCCTCGATGGGTTGAAGTATAATCTCTCTCATCTTGCCACTGTGAATATGAAACATTTGCCCACCTGATTCTTTTATTCAGCTCTGACAAGTGTCAATCTGCACACATTTGCCCCCATTCCTTGTTCCGTGTGCCCCTAGGGTCCTTTGGGCCCTAAAGGGACCTTTGATTCTCCTCTTAGAAGCTCCGTCACATCGTGATGGATCCTCCATAGATGCATGGTGACCCGCCACTTGTGAACTAGCCCGCAGCCCATCTGTCGCCGAAGCGATACAAGCACGCTTCTCGCCATCCTCAAAGAGAAACCGTCCATAAAGAACATGACTCTAGCGCCACTAGTGAGCCCAACAGCTCGGTTCAACTCTCCAGTGCTCTGGTTCTGTTTCTTCGATAGGTTCATTCCCAGCGGGACCTGGGTCCCCTGAAATCCATTGGGGGGAAGCCAACACTTGTCCTTCACTATATAAGTACAACGTATTTCGTACTTCATACCATAATAATTTTATTTTGCTCTTCTTTTTCTATTTTTTCTTTACTTTCCTTTTGCTTTTTTTTGGACGGTGTTCCTCATTTCCAGGTCTGGCGCAACCCGCATTCGGCATATCCCAATTCTCGACTGCATCATATCCCAACAATTCTTTGGTTTTTGATTTTTGGTTTTTTGTGGCCTCCTACTCATCGTGCATGGATCTGCTTTTGCTCGGATTAGTGCATTTGCTTAAACTTTACAAGCAAATGCTATGACCCCAGCGTCATTACCGAAGGATTTAAGAGTTATCAATAGCTGCGTCTCATCCGGGGTGTTCCTATTTTCGAGAAACTACCCAGTGACTCTACAATTATTTTCTTCTCTTTTCATCTATTAAAAGCGCGTGGAACCCCCAATTCAAAAATCCAAAAATCACAATTCAAAAATCAAAAGATGCCTCCAGATGGATCAACCTTCACGGCTCTAAACCTCCCACCGACATTCGAACTACCTCAATGCATGGAATACTTCACACTCCGAGCGGGTCCGAACACAGATCTATGGCGCAAACCACCTAACGGCGAAACCTCCACAGCGCCGATCGTCTTCACATCCCTCCGCCACCCATTCGTCGTAGCGGAAGTAACCGTGAGCGCAGACTGGGAAATGGAATGGGACCAAGGCGGCCTAGTGATATTCGCCGGCGCAGCACCACAATCCTTCTCCTCGGAAGTCGACGGACCACCCTTCCGCACCGCCCCACGCTCCCCCTGCAAATGGGTGAAAGCCGGAATGGAATTTTCGTCGGGCACCGTGAATGCGTCGTCCGTGAGCGCCACGGCCGATGGCGCGGACTGGTGTTTGTCGCCGTTAGCGCAGTCGGCTCAGACCGGATTGGGGATCCACTCGCTACGCATCAAACTCGAGCGTGTCGGGCATGCGCTGTGGATTTGGTACCAGGTGCCCTCGGTGTCGCCGTTCGCTCTCTCGCCTGGTGCGGTGGGGAATACCTGGAAGAAGTTGCGTGAGGTGACTTGGTTCTTTTATGGGGTTGAGGATAAGTTTGTTCATGTTGGGGTTTATGCGAGTCGGCCGATGGGTATGTCCCGGGGGGAACTATGTGGGATGCTATGCATGGGATGACGTTGGATACCTCTTTGCCGACGGGTTCGGCGGATGGGTTGGTGGTTGAGTTTGAGGATCTGGAAATCTTCTAGCTGGTGTGTTTTGTTCTCTTCTTTGTTGATTTTTTTTTTGGGATTTGCTTTCGTGCACTTATACTTCGGGGTCTTTCTTTTTTTTTTTTGTCGAGTCCTGGTGATACATATTCCCCATCAGCGTTTCATCAGTTTCATCGAGCGATTATGGCATGTCTGGAGTCGATTTTTGTGATACTTTTGCGAATCTTTCTGTTAACGAGTTTCGTGTTTATACCATTGAATATGGAGTATATTTCAAGATGCAATTGAGGTTTTGTTACCTCCAACTAGAGTGTGGGTATGTTGCTTAGGTGTATTGACGCGATGGGTCGCGTGTCTGTCAGGCACGTGCATTGCTCTTCTGGCTTCAGTGAGTCCTTCGCACTGATCAGGCCTTTAGTGGTTACTGTACGTTCTATTGTTGAATTTGTATACTGAATTAAACTGGAAAAGAAATGGAAGGGAAAGAAATCACGGTCGATGTGTATGATCTCATAGTTGCCGATGTATATATATTAGATGAACTCTTGAGGATCAACTCTAGAAACACTATATATTTCTGATCTGGACAATGCCTAGAACATCGAGCTCCGAAAACACCCACACTCTATAGATATCTTTATAAATTCACATTAAAAAAAATCCATTAGATATTCAATGTCACCAAGCTATACTACAATTTGATATTGTCACTAACTGAAAGCGGACTAGACCGGGTTCGTGGATATAACGGGGAAATTGCCGAACATCAGAGAATCCAATTCATCAACCCCAGGTCACAGTAATTCACAAGACACCTAGTTTACAATGAAATATGACTTGCTTCACTCATCAAGTCTTGCATACTGCATGCAGAAACTCGACCTCCGTGGCAGCCCTGAAATCCCGAGGCTGAGGTCACAACCTTGGAAGCTGAGTCAGCTGACTACGGGAAAGCCGTTCCCGAGGCCCGGGAGCTAAGAATTTTGCGTCGAGGGTTCTCCAGCTCAATTGAGGTCCGCCAGCACTGATGATTTGCTATAAAATAGCTCGATAGTCTTCTGAATTATCTCTAGTTTACTCTCACCGTATATCGTAGGCCAATGGGCGGTAGTTGTGGCGTAGTTGCTGGTTGAAGAGCGGGTCAAATGCTGCAGGACCCCGTAGCAACATCCGTTAGAATGGGGGAGAAAGCAAGCCTAAAAAAACAGACCAGGGAGCTGTTTGTTTTGAAGATCGAGCTAGGGATTTCCCCCGGGGTTATAGCTTTCTAGCTTGTCTACGTGGAGTTCTTGGGAGCTTTCGAGCAAGAGATAGAGCTCAAGTGAAAGACCCCCCATACGTGTGCTTATTCTCCAACCGTTCGCCCCCATGGGGAAGGTGAAAAGTTCTAGGAAGAAGGGAAAAGAGGATATTATACGGCCGTCAGACGCAACACACAGAGTTTTTCGTTTGGCTCTTTGATAGGTTGGATGGTCGATGGGCCATATAGGACTCTATATGTACAGAAAGAAAAGTGTTGTAGATGACGCTGAAAGTAGTACATGGTAATACATCACGACCAAATACCCTCCCCGGCGGAAAAAGAGATTCTCTCAAAAAACCCAAAATCCTTGTTTTGATGACATTTTTCCAAGAATCCGTAAACCCGAGTTGTAGATAATTTAGACGTACTTGCACATCATGGCAACCATGAGATCGAAGAGACCCATGGCCTCGACGAAGGCAAAGCCGAGAATGGCGTAGGAGAAGAGCTGGCCACGGAGGGCAGGGTTGCGGGAGACACTCATGAGGAGAGCGGCGAAGACGAGACCGATACCGATACCGGCACCACCGAGACCGATGGCGGCGGAACCCATACCGATGTTCTTGGAGACCTCAACCATGGCGGAGGCGACCTCGGAGGAGTACTGGCGGCGGGCGGCAGTCTGGAAGGCCTTGGCCTGGAGGAGAGTGGGCGACTGGATGCGCTTGGGGGCACCGAAGGCGGGGGCCTTCTGGGTGAAGGTGCGCTTGGTGGCAGCGTTGAGCTGGAAGCGAGCAGCAGGGCGGGCGACCTTGGAGGTCTGGGCCATGACGGAGGCCATGCGGGAGGTGAAGACACGAGTGGCGGCCATTGTGATGAATGGGATATAGAATTATAGGGTGGGTGGAAGAGAGGAGAAAGAAGGAAAGAGGAGAGAGATGGACTTTTCAGGGAGAAAAAGCTGGGAAACTACGGGAGACGGCACTCACTAGGACATAAATACTCTACGGCCAAATTTTCGCCCGTCCGCCTCCTAGTCGGTCTTAGTGTATGTGTAAGGTAACAAAAAAGCCCTAGGTTGTGCGTGGACTCCGGAGTATTTCATACGCAAATCACCGCAAATCACACTATTTAGGAATGCTGGGGGTTGGTATTGCTCTGTTTTAGTCTGTTTTAGTCTGTATTAATCGGTTTGGGTCTTGTTTTCTCTCATTCTTACCGCGTATTGCTACCTGTCGGGATCAATCGGGTATTGTTCCAACTGGGTCCACTGGTTTTTATTCGTCGAGGTGTTTATGGGTCTTTGGGACTATCTATCAGAATACATCCCCTGCATGGGAAAAAAGTTGACCCTTCACTTTTTGCAGGGAAGCTTTACATATTGGACTTGAATCCATTTTGGACATACGTATGCTAGTTTGTAGAGAAGCCTGAACAAAGGGATAAAAATAAAATTACGAATACACGAAAAAAGAAAAATAAATAATGAAATAAATTCCCAATTCTGCCCTTGCAGTGGATCTTAAGCATGTTCCAATCTAGTGGATCGATCCACTTTTAAGCTTCCTCAAACCAATCATAATCTCTCTGGATCCGCTATGCTTCTTGGATTCGTTCCCGGCCTCGCCCAAACCGGCCCGACTCGGATTCCAGGTCCACCAACTACGGAGTCACTGGGCAACCATCGGTTGAAAGGAGTTAGATAATGTGGGTATAGTGGATACTGTCTCCCCCCTTCGTCCCTCGGGAATCCACCTCACCGAGTGGTCACATTTGGAAAATACGTAACTCTGGACAGATCCGGTACTCCGAATAGCTTCGGTCTCCTGCCTCTGGGTTGCCGAGGGAAACAAAACTCCATGCATAGGACCTGCAGGTAAGGTACGATTCTTATATAAATTCATAGTAGGGGGTAAATTTAGACCATGGTAAGAAAAGACAGGGGAAAAAAGGAAAAAAAAAAGCAAAAATTCGGGGTTGTCGTGTCCTTGCTTTTACAGATCCACTTAGACTGAATTTCTGACCCGCCACAACCCGATTGTCGCAGTGAAAACTGGTCTTTCTGGATTGCCCTAAACACAATTACAGAACATTGAGCGTAATATGGTAAACTATCATTCAACCTTCCCTTCCATTTGAACGGGGCTGGAGACCCTTATATAGACAGACCTACCTCCAGCAAAATTTTTCACAGCCAAATTAAACCATCCCAAACGGGCTAACCAGAGGCTCTTTGCATTTCCGGAAATTCGATTTTTGACAATTTCGGTTGATCGCAGCTTGGCAGGACCCACACAAGCTCGATTCAGGGTGCAGCCGTTACGCGTTTTTCCTTGCCCGGAGCTATCCAGGCCATTGATATGGGGATTGGGGATAATTGTTATGCCAGAAGTAGGAATTCCAATCCAGAACAGCAATTGAGTCTAAAAAAAGAAGCTCCGAGAGAGAGAGAGATGGTATACAAGTGTGAGGATAAGGGGCTCCGGTGCCGGGTGTAATCGGGTAAATTACCACAATACGGTATGGTAATTTGACAGACTCGGCGACTCATCAACTCATCATTGACCTGCTGTGAGGTCATGAGGCCAGTTGGCATATAACCCCCGTATAGCTTCAGCGTCTGTATAATCGTGTACGCAGTATTGCCGTAATGGCAGACACACACACAGTATCCATAGCTTAGTTTCTTTTTCTTAAACTATATCCACTCTCAATTCAAACATAAGACCAACTGTGCCCCCCCGGCTTGCTAGAACCTGTAACTCTTCCCTTGAACCGTACTCACGCCCTCGGCACAAACACATGCAATCACAAGCCTAGCGCCAGCGCTACCTGTCACAGCTCATGCGCTGGACAGCGCACGCCCATTCTGACGGCCATTCTTCTGCTAATATATCTGTCTCTACGGATTCTAAAACCCGCGCAGTGCTCAAATCATCCCATCGAACATGCTCTCTCCATAGCCGAACGCGTCCCACTAGAACGAGAAACGCCGCGAACCCCGGAATACAATCCGCCGGGAACAATATCTACAGTAACAAGGCACACGCCCCTTCTACATCCTCCCGGATCCGCCCGAAAGCGCCAACCCTCGCACCGACTACACACGTCCCTCGATCAACGCAGTCTGATCCCCAGCTCTACACTGCACCTTAACCAGGCAGCGCGGCAAGGGAAAGAAGACCTGGTTCAGCCTCGATCCTGTCTGCAAAAACAGCCACCTCCACGCTTGCACGCCGCATCATAGATACACGCCACGCCGTCCGCAACACATAGCAGTCAAGATTCACCGCCCCCTGCACAGACGGTGCTAGAAGAAGGTCCGCACTGTGTACACCGGTCCTTGCGTATACTGTAGGCTTCGACGTTTTCCGATATCAGAGATCCACGCTCGCGTCTCGAGACTGCAGATATGCTGTGCAGTAGACCGGCAGATCTAGTTGGACGAGAGATCGGGTAGCGAGGATTCAGTGCGGAGAGGGACAAGGTTGATTCAGTAGTTGTAAATTGGTTGTGTTGATCTGTAGAGCATCGGGTACTCAGCTCGCGTCCACATTGAGGGATGCGTGAGCTGTTGCTCGACGGACATGTCGGATACCGAAGGTATTCAGAGCATGCCTTTCTATTTCCCCGGGATGGGTTAGTTTACCTTTCCAGGCAATGAAACTGGCACATCTCGCGACCTCGATTGATCGCAGGGACTCATTTGCAGTCCTTTGACGAGTGACATTAACCGGATGGTTTGCTTGCACCCTGTCCTTGGTGCTGTTAATCAACAACTGCCATGGCACAGGGGGTGTGCATAATTCCTTGCAACACAATGATCATCTCCGCCATATCTCATATACAATCTACGTTATTATTGTTATTGTCAGTAATTGGTGTCTCGGAGAGAGCTGCGCACATGACCCTTCCCGAGGTCTTCAGCCACCAACACAGCTAAGATCGTCAGCATCCACCAGCTAGACGAAATTAGGACTAGTCTTCGATCTAGGCAATCGAGATCGGACACCGCCAGTCTTGAGTCCTAGACAAACTTCTTAGCAGAGTTGCGGTGAATAAAAAGCTAAAGAAGCTATAGTGGAGAACGGCAAATATAATTTGTTGTCGTTTGGTATACTGGAAATGCTGTTAGAATTGCTTAGTCGAAGTTTTGGCTTAAAATATGTCAAAGGCTATACATTGAAAACGCTTTTTTCCGGCGTCTATCTAGAAAAAAAAAAAGACATAAACAGACGACCGAAAAGACATGGTAAGATCGCATAAGCGACATACTATTCTTGTCGATATTCAATTGATAAAATGCAAGATATACTCAGACTCATTCGTTTGATTCGGAGGTCTCTGAGATGAGATTATCCCAAATAAGAATTTAAAACTAGTAAAGAAGACTTCGGCAGCGAGCAAGTATTGGTTAAAGTAAGAAAGCAAACTAGCCATCCAACGATATACCTTGCCAACGACGATTGTCCTGCCAGTATATGTATCCCCTAAGAATCAGCCATAGCACTCCTCAGAGCACTAGTCAGATCCACATGGAAGAAAGGCCGATTGATTCCATTGACGACAGCCATACCAGTACCGACACCAGATCGACCGCGATGACGATGAGTATTAACCTTCGCATCCTTCTGATCAGTCCGCATAACCTGAATTTCATCCTCAGAGACACCCATAACCGATGAGGAGACACTATTCTCCTGCACTTTCAGACCACTCTCTAGGTCCTTCGACCAGTCGTCCGACTCTCCGACATCAGAATGAGACACTGAGCTGGGTAGACTGCCATCTAAGATCTCCGCAACGTTAAAGATCGACCTCTGCCATCGAGGACCTGAACCGCCCGAGACGGCGGGGAACCCGAATCCAGCGGCTGCGAGAGCACGTTTCGTCCATCTGTTGTGGACGTGCGTGAAGTGCCACTGCACGGTGTCAGGAGATGCCCAGCGGTCTAGCTGGTTGCGGACGTCGATGAGGTTCTGCACGGATGTGACATCTACATTGTTGACAGCGGCGAAATCGAGGATTATGGCGCGGAGAGTTGGGAGTGGGGAAGTGGGTGCTTCCTCTGCCATGAGGATTTTGCGCTCGGCGCGGGTTGGACCTGGGTCGTTCCAGGGTCGGTCGCCTGTTGTTTCCCATGCTTGTGGGTTTGTGCGTCGGGTTTCTTTGAAGATGTGACTGACTAGGTGGTCTGTGTAGTGGTTTGCATTGGGGTAGTTGAACCCCTCGGAGACCCTGTAGATGAAAGATTCCTGGAGCTGGCTGGTGGATTTTTACTCGGGGGTTTGTGCCACCCGCGTGTTCGGTTGGGAGATAGATTCTTCTGGACATCTCAGTACTATCTTCGAATCCCGTGCTTGGGTCTTCCTGGGGTGCGTTGAGGATATGGTCACCCACGACCGAATGAACTTGGACGTAGCCAAGGAATTGGCCTCGGGCTTTGGCAAGTCGGAAGAGGAGCACTGCCAGTGATACGCCGATTGTGCAGTAAATTCCGGTCTCGATAGTTGAGAATATGATCACGATAACGCCCATGAAGAAGATGAGTGCGTCAATTGGAGATACACACCAAAATTGATAGGTGATATGGAGCGGTGTAACGAGATCACCCACTGCGTGGATAATCACGGCCGACAAGGACGACTTGGGAATGAAGAAGAATAACGCTGGTAGCGCATATATGGCAAGAAGGACTACAACGGCAGTGATCACACCTGCGAGGGGAGTGCGTACGCCGCACTTCGCTTTGATAGCAGTTCGAGAGAATGAGCCAGTAGCTGGGTACGCACCCAAGAACGGACCTAGGAGGTTTGAAATGCCAATGGCAATGAACTCCTGAGATGGGTCGATCGTATAATTGTTGACACGGCCAAATGATTTCGAGATAGCAATGTGCTCAATCAATAGAACAATCACAGCGGCAGGGAGTTCGCCAAGAAATGCCTTGATAATTGGAACATCTATTTTGGGAACTCCCGCAGCCTTGAACCCCCGGGGAACATTACCAAGTAGCTTGAAGGCAGGGTGATTGCGGCGATGGAGATTGACCGCAGCGCTGATCATGGTGTAGAAAAGAACGACGAAGGCAGTTCGCAATGTGGACAAAAAGAAGAACAGTTTGGCCTTGTGGGGCTTCTTCCTCGTTCCATAGTTGCAAGCAGACCGTATGCCATATAACATTGCTAATGCTGTAAGGCCCATAGCAGCGTCCATCCGGGCGGACGGAAGATGCTTCAGCGTATCAATGATGATCTTGTAGGTTGCCCCCCGCGTAGAGAAATGCGCCTTCTCTCCGAGAACCGTCTTCACTTGGCCAGCACAAACATTGATCGCGGACCCGGTCATAAAAGCAGAAATAGCAGGAAGAGGGATAAAGTCGACAATGAAGCCAAGACGAAGCAATCCGAGGAACAATACGATCGCACCACAAATGTTTGCCAGAGCGGAAGCAAGGACTGGTGGGGGTATTTCGGGGTGGACGGCTTGAACCTTGATGATAATTGAGCCCATGAGCGTAGACATCACCGCCACAGGCTGAGGGTATTAGCATTTTCGACACCAAAGCGAGGGATCGTTCTTGGTTCTTACACCAATAGTGATATCTTTGGATGTTGCAAAGAACCAATAGATCAAGACTCCCATGAATGAAGAGTATAGACCATATTCTGGAGGCAGTTTGGCTAGTTCAGCGTATGCCATACCCTGCGGAATGACCACGGCACCAACAGTGATTCCTGCCCAGAGGGGTTAGTCTCTGTATATCATTGTTTCGCTGGGAGTTCTCACCTGCCACGAGATCCCCAATCAGCCATTGCACGTTGTAATATCCAATCCAATGGAGGAAAGGGAAGAGGCTCCATATGTAACGACGAGCTTGAGGGGCGGTGGGCGTATGACCTCGAAACCAGTCGCCCACAGTGGGCTCATGCTCGTAATATCCATACGTTCTGGTCTCATCTCTCACCGGGGAAGGAGTTGGACCTAAATTAATTCGTAAAAGCTTTGCGAAAGCGTGGCCGACTCGAGTCGAGATAGTCTCCGCCATTGTTGCGTCGGGTCTTTTTCGGCTCTTCGTAGTCTGGAGGGTCACAACCGGCGGCTCTCCAGATTGCTAGAGAGAAGATGAGCTGAAGAAGGAAGAAGAAACAGGGAATGGCTAGTAATGAAAGCCATATTGCGTCCATGAGGCCCGGACCATAGGGCTGATGGCCCGTATACTTCGGTACGGGCGATGTCGTGATTTTAGTGTTGATTGACCAAAAATAATTGACTCTGACCAATCAGGGCAGGTCTGGACAGCAGGTCATTCTCACGTCAGATGGTTAGACAGTCAGACAGTAAGACTTTAGAGGAGTATACAGTCTTTGAGAGGATGAATGTGTATGTAGGACATGAGAATAAATGGGGAAATGGGGACGATCTTCTCGGTAGAGAGACGGTGTAAACCAAACTCTCGTAGGGCTGAACGCTTGGACCCCGGATAGGGCTGATCTGCTTCAGGGCTGTATGTAAGTATTGTGCACGCCTATAGGCAGTCATATCAGCCATAGTCCACTTTTATACAGTTTCCTTATGATTAACTCTGCTGCCTGGAACTCATACCGTATTTGGTTCATTGGAGGTGGGACTTTTGACTGGTGGAACATCCATGGATGTTATTAACCCCTTTGTACTCCGTATCACCTTTCACTTATAAACTCCTGAACTTCCCTCAACTTTCGGAGAATATTAATTACCCCTATATAAGTACATGTGTACCTGTACATACTCCGTAGCGAGAGTGGAGATCAGGGGATAACGGGTACCTGGTGCCTGAACTACCCCACAGACATTCTTGAAGTGGATTTCCATTTCTGGTTAGCCTTGCCTATTTGGGTTTAGCGCTTAGATACATAGCCTCCTAGATCGATTTCGGGAATGCTTGTTGTGAAACTAGTGTGATTAGGGGGTAAAGGAGCCGGTATATCTTTCTCCGAGTAAAGGGGAAATTTCACCTCGTGGTCGGTCTCCCCCTTTTAAGGATCCAGTTACAGTCAAATGGCAAGCATGTGGTTTAATAGTGATCCCGGTACCTTCCGATCTCTACGTTGACTGCCTATGGGAGTATGAGGCCACTCCTTTAGGCGATGTATTTATTGATGAAGTGTCTAGACGCAGGATGCATGGAATTTCTGATCAGGGCCAACCCAAAAGAGATTTACCTTTGACATTGCGATGCATCGTGGCACCATGGCGCCAATTTCATCGTTGCGGTTGCACGGGATAGTAAAGCATGAATTCAAGATCCTGCTGCTATTAGTGTAAGAAAGGATTAATGGGGATTAAGCAGCTATTCAGCCCTCAGGATCTCAGAGATACTGGACTTCCCATATCCGACTACTACTGATACTCTGGTGGTATTGATATCCTCATCAAGGATCGGTGCTCTTTGCCAGTTACATATTTTTTTTTTTTACGATTGCGAATAAGTCCGTTCTCTACCACAAGCATGGTAAGTTGCCTTAAGACTTCAGGAATACCTGCACTGTGTTTAACATTCACGAGGTTGATGTCCAATGCCTCCATCCTGTCTTGCAGCCCATGAGGGATGACAAATAGCAATCTGGCTTCATGCCAAATGATAGTCTATTAAGAACCACTGCGGGAAATTCATGTAGGATGGGCTCATATAAATGATAATACACCTAAAACAACCATACGCTTGAACCCCCGATCATCAAGCGTATATGTAAGCGATGTGAAGACATGTTGCCGCTACTCTCAAGAATCACGGCTTGATAGGCACGTCATGCTTGAGTAGAACATTGAGGCAGTAGTCAGATTTCCTAGTCTCTGTAACTTAACTTCTTCGACAACTCAATATCAATCTCACATTGCACTAGTTATACATTTCGACATGTACCACGTAGTTCTTCCTCCTGACAATAGTATAGAAGGGTAAGTCATATGTCTGTTTTTACTTTTCACACAAGAAATAGCCGGCCATTGATGCAGTTTTGTCATATCTTTTTGGATGGTCTTTCTGGGTGTATGTGGGGGCGGTAAAGAGCATAAACTATGCAGAGGAACTTTTTATGTATCGCTATGTAGCGATCTCTCTGACAAATAGCATGCACAGTAAGAATGATTGGATGGGCGGGCATCTGGCCTAGCGGTTGTCGTTGGTGACGTTGGCGCAATGCCACATGGATCCCCGTCTATCCTCAGCTTGAGTGCCGTTTGATCTCAAGTTGCCGGGTCGCCTCCGGGCGATGACTTTTTTATTTTTTATTCTTATGGTTCTTTTTGCAATGGTAACCCTGTAACCCAGCAAGCTCCGAAGCCGCACTTCCCAGAATCCGTTGACTCTCCACAAGTTAGTATGTATGCTTCAAGGTCTTATAGATTTGATGGTCTTTCTGATGGATATGCCGGGGTCCTAACGGTATTATGGAGGGTATTTCGCAAGTATATAGAGAAAGGTTATGATTTACTCTCAGGTGCTATAGGCTGCTTTGTATAGGCCTCCAAAGCACACCGCGGCGACAGAGAAACAACTGTATTTGATGCACAACAGTATTATCTGCTATTACCTGCAATTTCTAAGAAGTATCATTCCGCCACGGTGAAGATTCAAGCTGATTGTCTAGCTATATCGCACCTACCCGGGTGAGCACATGGGCACCTGCCGAAATGGGAAGGTACCACTTACATAATAAACACGTAACATCATGAGGAAGCTCTAATTTCTGTTGGTTTGGTATACACATGGACATAGATGAATAACTTCCTTTCTCTAGAGGTTGTTATCGGGGAACATGGAGACAACTGCTACCTAGGTATAAGTGTAGTAGGTGTAGAGCTCTTTGAATGAGGGCAAACCTCATGTATAATCTTTGCCCCGCGCTGCCCCTACCCCCTGTAACCTCAATTGACTGGACTGAGGGAGTAAGGACTAACACTCAATTTCAATCCGTCGATCCAACTTTGTTGCAAAATGCAGCTATTCGGGATTGAGCATTAAAGGAAAAAGTCAATTGCACTAGCATGGTTTGCTAAGCCACTGGTCCATGTTCCTATATCATAGCAATCCTTATCTGTCTCCCTATGTTGTAGGTTCCTTTTAGCTCTATTAAGCTAGATGATCCGAGAATTTCCACATCTGGCTTCCTCCTGACTTATAGGAGTTAGGAGAAGCCATAAGATGACCACATAGCTTTTCATAGCGTCTGCTATTTTTTACTTTGGTTAAATTGCCCCCCGGCTGTCCCGCGGATTCCGCCCCGGGGCCGGGAAGCCGACCACACCGCCCTGTATATCTGCTTCATACGAATTGTTAATCGATGAAAGTCGGTGGAACGGAGCTACGGAAATCCATGAGAATTCCTAAGTTGTAGGAACTGCAGACGATCTCAGATGCAGATTCCTGCAGCCATGGGACTTTGAACCGGAAATGCGGCTTCTGTGGGAGGGTCCAAGCTCAAGGAGGTCGCACGCAGCACGCAATGCACAAGAGCTACTAGTGTGAGGCACGAGCTTTCATTGTTTTGAGCAATCCCCGAATAGTATTCTGTATCCAGAGTATGTTATGCTGTTTACTCCGTCGAAATTGTAGAAATAACAATAATAATATGGAGATCCGTGATGTTCCGCATATATGGGCCCAAGGGAAAAAAAAAAGGGCCGAAACATCAGCCAATCCACGGATGGACAGACTATTGAAAATTGAACCTCCACACCCTCTTTTTTTTTTAATTTGGAGATCACTGCAATAATGAGTCAGAACCATATGACAGGTGGATAAGAACCTTGCGGCCTGCCCATTGGCGCCTGTTTATCAATTGGGTCTGGTTTTTTTTTTAGCGCCCAATTTCGTTTCTGTTAAGTTGACAGGGTTGCCTTTTGGAATCTTGTGCAACCAGAAGAGGGGGAAAAAAGAGTACATAGACAATAGAATCATGTACATCGTATGTTGTACGGTTGCACATGTTCCAATGAACAAGAAGCCCCCCAAAAAAGCCAAACAATAAACCTCGGCGATACAGCTTCACCGCATATTGGAAGTGGAGATCCGGGTGAAAGAGCCCAAAAAGCACGAACAACGATTGGGCGTCAAGCTTGAAAGATGCTCCAAGTGAAAGACGAAAAGACAAAAAAGGAAAGGTGTAATGTATATGGTCACTATGCCAACTGTTTCCCCACTCTCTGAGCTGTGCCGTCAGAGGTTTTTTGGTACTTTTTGGGCTGAGATTTTTTTTCTGCCTTTTTCCCCTCCTCCATATTCACACCCTATTGCTCTGTGAGCTTGTGTTTTCTGTACACGATACAAATCTAGCGTTAAATCTTTGCTGGTCAAATTGTGAAAACCATCATCTTAATACCCTGCCCGATCATCCTTTTACGACATTACGAATTTGAAACGAAATAAACCATGGCCAGCGTGCAAGAGCCCCTTATCCCGGAAAGCCATGCGCTGCCTACAGATGCCCCTGTCGAGCCCATTTCATCTATAGATGAAAAGCCCACTGCAAGCGCAACTGAGGCCGATCTGAGCGAATCAACCGCTACCTTGGTTGAAGCCGACTCCACACAACAATCCAAAGATTCAACCCAACCTGAGGTCCCAATGACCGCCGCCGAAAAGAAGAAGGCCAAGAAGGCCAAGAAGAAGCAGCAAAAGAAACAGGAGAGTATTAGCTCCCTTGCTGCCGAACAAACTCCCGAGATTCCAGCCGCCCCCGAAACCAAAACTGCAGAGCCTGCAGTGGAGGAATCAGCACCAGTCGAAGCTTCCAAGGAGGCTGAACCCGCTGCTGAACCAGTGGTTGAGGAAAAGACCGCAATTGAATCAACGGAGGAATCCAAGCCGGCCGAGAAGGCTGTCGATGCCACCGAGGCACCAGTGCTCGAGGAAAAGCCTGTCGCTGAAGCTATTGAAGAGCCAGTTGCCGAAGTAGTAGCCGAGGAGAAGGCTGCTGAGAAGGTCGCCGAGCCCACCACAGAAGAATCAAAGACTGAGGCCGTTCCAGAAACTGTCGCAGAACCCGCCGTCGAAGAATCCAAGGCCGTGGAAGAGGTTGCTGAGCCCACCACTGAAGCTGCCACGGAAGAGAAGACCGCCGAGACCGTTCCTGAAGTCGCCGCCGAGCCAATTGTCGAAGAGACTCCCGCCGCGGAAGAAATCAAGACCGCCGAGGAGGTTGCTAAGCCTACCACTGAGGAGAAGCCTGTCGAGGAAAAGGCTACTGAAGCCGTTCCCGAAACTGCCGCTGAGCCTGCTAAGGAAGAGTCAAAGACCGCCGAGGCTGTTCCTGAAGCTGCCGTGGAAGAAAAGACCACTGAGGTCGTTCCTGAAACCACCGAAGCCGCCAAGGAAGAGACTCCTGTCGCCGAAACTGCTGTGGAGGAATCAAAGGTTGTGGAAGCTGTCTCTGAAACCGCCCAGGAGGCGCCCGCTGTCGAAGAATCTAAGACTGAGGTTGCTGAGCCCACCGCTGAAGCTGCTGTGGAGGAGAAGACCACCGAGGTGGTTCCTGAAACCACCGAAGCCGCCAAGGAAGAGACTCCCGCCGCTGAAACCGCCGTGGAGGAATCAAAGGCTGTTGAGGAGGTTGCTGAGCCCACCACTGAGGCCGCCACAGAAGAAAAGACCACCGAGGCTGTCCCCGAGACTGTGGCCGAGGAAACTCCTGTTGCTGAAGCTGCTGTGGAAGAATCAAAGCCTGTCGAGGCCGCCCCTGAGGCTGTCGCAGAGGCTGTCGCTGAGACTCCTGCCGTTGAGGAACCTAAGGCTGAGGAGGTTGCTGAACCTATCACCGAGGAAAAGGCGGTCGAGGCCGCTCCTGAGGCTGTCGCAGAGGCCGTGGAAGAGACCCCCGCCGTCGAAGAATCTAAGACTGAGGTTGCTGAGCCAGTCACTGAGGACAAGCCCGCCACCGAAGAAAAGGTTGTTGAGGCTGCTCCTGAGGCTGTCGCAGAGGCTGTCGAAGAGACTCCAGCTGTGGAAGAATCTAAGGTTGAAGAGGTTGCTAAGCCTGCCGCTGAAGAAAAGGCTGTCGAGGCCGTTTCTGAGACTCCTGCTGCGGAAGAATCCAAGGCCGCCGAGGTTGCTGAGCCCACCACCGAGGAGAAGCCTGCTACTGAGGAAAAGGCCGTCGAGGCCACTCCTGAAACCGTCGCGGAGCCTATCGTCGAGGAGACTCCTGTCGCTGAAGCTGCCGTGGAAGAGTCCAAGCCCGTGGAGGCTGCACCTGAAATCGTCCAGGAGACACCCGCGGTCGAGGAATCCAAGGTTGAGGAGGCTGCTGAGCCTATTGCTAAGGAAGAGCCCGTCGCCGAATCCGCCACGGAAGAGTCGAAGCCCGCCGAGGCCGTTGCCGAAACCGTCGCTGAACCTGTTGTCGAGGAGACTCCCGCCGCTGAAGCTGCTGTGGAGGAATCCAAGACCGTCGAGGCTATTCCTGAGGCCTCCGCAGAGCCTGTCGTCGAAGAAACTCCTACTGTGGAGGAATCCAAGACTGTCGAGGCTGTTCCTGAAACCGTCCAAGAGACCCCCCGCTACCGAAGCAGCCGTGGAAGAGTCCAAGCCTGCTGAGGAGCCAGTGGCCGAGAAGGCTGTCGAGGAACCGATTGTGGAGGCTGAGGCCGAGAACAGCAATGACACCACCGCGGCCGTTCCAGAGGTTGCTACAGAGGCACCTGTTGAGGAGCCAACTGTCGACGTCTCTGAGCCCAAGGAGGAGGTCGTCTCTGAGCCCACTAAGGAGGTGGTCGAGGAGACTCCCGTTGAGCAGCCTGCCACTGAGGAATTGGCTGCTGAGCCAGTCAAGGAGGCTGAGATTGTCGAGTCTGTTCCCGAGCAGACTGTCGATTCTGCTAAGGAACCTGCTGTCGAGGGGCCTACTAAGGCCGCTGAGGTGGAGACTACCACCACTACCGAGCCCGCCGCTGAGGCAATTGAAGAGCCTGCTGCCGTTGTCGCCGAGGAGGCTACTACCGAGAAGGCCCAGGAGCCTACTGAGGTCGAGCCTGTCCAAGAGACTACCGAAAAGGCTGTGTCAGAGGAACCAGTTGTGGAGGAGGCTGCGGCCGAAACCGCTAAGGATGTGACTCCCGAGGAGTCTCCCGCTGTTCCTGAGACCGCTGAAGCTGCTGCTGTTGAGACTGCTGCTGTTCCCGAGGCCGCCGCTGAAGTTGTTGCCATTCCCGCCGCTGCTGCCGCTGCTCATGTCACTGAGGAGTCTCCAGCTGCTCCTCAGGCTGCCGCCGCTATCGTCGAGGAAAACGCTGCTCCTACTGAGTCTGCCCCCGCCGAGACTACCGAGGAAGTCGCCATTGAGCAGCCCGAAGCTACCAAGGCTGAGGAAGTAACTGAGCAGACCACCGAAGAGCCTGTTGCTGACAAGGCCGTTGAAGAGCCCGTTGCCGAGACCTCTGCCCCAGAGCCGGTTGTTGAGGCTGCTCCCGTTGTTGAAGAGACTCCCATTGAAGAGCCTGCTAAGGAACTTGCCGTCGAGGAGCCCATCAAGACCGAGGCTCCTGTCGTTGCTGATGTTACTGCGGACGAGGCTGAGAAGGTCGAGGAGAAGCAACCCGAGGCCGAAGCTGTTGCCGAGCCAGTTGTTCCTGAGCAGACTGAGGCTGCTGCCGCTGTTGGAGAGCCTGTTTCTCAAGCCGCTGAGCCAGCTGCTGCTGAAACTCCTGCTGTCGAGGAAAAGGCCATTGATGAACCTGCTGCCGCTGTCGAAACCGCAGCCGAGTCCACTGCCGAGCCTGTTTCCGAACAGACTCCCGAGGTGGCACACGTTGAAGAAACTGCTACTGAGGTACCAGCTGCCGAGAAGGCTGAGGATGTGAAGGAGCCCGCCACTATCGAGCCCACCATTCAAGCTACTGAGGTTGTTGAGGCACCAGTTGTGGAGGAGCAGACTGCCGCAGAGCCCGTCAAGGTTGAAGAGCCCGTTGAAGCTGCTGCCCCCGCGGAGCAAATCCCCGAGGCAGCTCCAGTGGAGGAATCCTCTACCAAGGAGCTCGAGCCCGAGACAACCGTGGTTGAGGAAGCTGCCATCGAGCAGCCCGCCGTCGTTGCTGAAGAGGCTGCTGCCGAAGCACCAGTTGTTGCTGAGGTTGCTGAGGCTGTCGAAGAGCCCACCCAGGACGATTCCAAGGTCGAGGAGACCGTTGCAACTGAGGAACCCTCGAAGGTCGAAACCGTCGAGACCGAAGTTGCCACCATTCCTGAGCCCATTGCCAGCGCAGAGGAGCCCGTGGTGGTGGCTGAGACATCCGATGTGAAGGAGGCAATTCAGCCCTCCACCACTGACGTTGAAACTAAGCAAGAAGAGACCGCTGCTTCCGCCTCTGACGAAGCCTCTACCAAGGATACTGGCATCAGTGCTGAAATTCTTGGTGCTGGCGCTGCTGGTGTTGCCGCTGCCGCCCTTGCTGGTGCCGGCGTGGCCGTTCTTGCTCACAAGGACCAGAAGGATGTCCAGCCTACCGATGCAGGCAAGGAACCCGTTACTAAGGCTGAGACCCAGCCCCAGGTTCCCGCAGCAGATGCCCAGCCCGCAGACGGTAAGCCAACACCGTTCTATCTTTCACACCAGCAATCTGCCATATCGTTCGAAACTGATCCCGCTCTTGCAGCACTCGCTGGTGACCGCGAAGCCCTCCTTAGCAAACTCAACCAACCGTCTACAGACCAACTGTCCACGGCTACCCAGCAGCCAACAGTCGAGAGTGCCGCCGAGTCCCAGCCTGCCGCCGAGGCCAGCAAGGGAACCACCGAACCCGCTGCCAATGTGTCCGACGCTAAGCCTGCTACCGACAGCACTCTTACTCCCAAGGATAATGATGAAGATGCTCGTCCAGCGAGCCAGAACCGGTCAGTGACAGCTGTTTCTCTAAATGGTGCACCTGACAGCTGGCTCAAAGCAATCTTGCGCACTGTCTTTGTGAATTTCTTTGGAGCCATCTTTTCACCTTTCCGTCGTGGAAAGTCCTCCTCCAATTAGATTGAATCTTGTGTTTCCCTGTGCTTTGTCTTCTAGCCAGTTGTCTTTATTTCCTTGGGTGCTACATCGAAACAAATCATGGTCATCATGAATAATTTGCTTTCAAACTAATTGACTGACTGATCGATCAGCAGTTTGTTTTGGATTGCGATTTTTGTTATGCCCATCGCTGCAATTTTCTGGCGTTTCTCAGACAAGTGAGACGCCAACGTTGGAATTTGGGTACTACTGAAAGGCGGTGCCCCAGCCATGGTCACGTGCGCATACGAGCCCTGGGAACTTCGAGCAACTATATCCGTGGCAATACGAAAGTGCGTGGCATCACGAAGTATACAACTCCGGGCCATTTCTTTCGTTCCACCCGCCGACTTTATTCCCCTGTATTATCTGTTTCTGCTTCATATTTACGAATCCCATTGCGTCTTGCTTTACTTTTGTTTTTATTATGGTTAATGATTTCCTTTTGTTGTCTCCAATGCTATGTTGGTGTTGGCATGCCCGGCCGCTCTTTGGATCTGTCTGACTTGCTATGTATCCAGTATACTTAATGACATGAATTTAATGAATAGCTTATACTTATAACATTCTTTGTATTTGTTTCTTTGTGCTTGGCTGCCAGTAACCTTTTTCCCTCTTTGGATATGTGCTCCATGTGCAAGACTTTCTTTGTTCTTACAATGCTGTATCTTGCTGGCCTTTGTGCCAGTCTAACTAAGGCACAAATTTGTATATAACCTTGCCAATTTCTCATGAAAAATGAAGTTCTTCCTGTATTTCCCTGCTTGTATTTTCTTGCTTTCCTGGTAAGATGGGTGCCCGTATACTCAATACAATGAGTGTAGAGGGTCTGCAAACGCAGAGAACCTCGGCCATGGGTTGCCCAGGTGGATCGTTCCTTCGATATTGGGAAAATGAGCCATATGCTAGGCAGGCAGTCGTAATTTCACTTTGGGGTGGTCAATAATGGAAACTGTGAGGCACGTGCCCAGTGTTGTATAACCGTTCTCTTCGACACGGTTTCTTTGCCTTGTTATTGCCACACGCGTCCCTCTTCTTCTGTCCAAACCATCACAACTTGTTCCTTTTTCTTCGAAGAACAGCAGAAGACATGGCGAGAAAAAGTCAAGGTTAGTATCATTCCTTCATTTGTCAAACATTCGTCACCTTTTGGCCTCATGGAGTGTCTCCTACGGTGGACTCGGGCCTCGTTCGACCGAGTACACCATGGAACTGGCCTTTCTTTCAGACTCAAGTCTCTTCCTACGAGATTGAGCCTGGTTCCTGGGAACCAGGTTTCTTCTCCATGGGATTGAGATTTGGCTCCTGGCAATCAGGTCTCTCCATGGACTTGAGTCTGGTTCCTAGCGACCAGGCCTCTTATCCGTGGAATTGAGCCTGGCTCTTGGGAATCAGGTCCCTTGCTATAGAATTGGACATGGTTCTTTTGAATCAAGACTTTCTTTGACATTGGGGTTGCTTCCTTGTGATCAGATCTGCTTGGATCTGTGCAAGCAACCCCCTTTCTATGGCAGTACTTTCTATGGAAGCAGATCCTCTAGACAAAGGAACTATTCTTTTGCCCAAGGATATGCCTCGAAAGAAAGAATAGAAAGGGATATACCCCAAAACATGAGAGATATCTATCAGTTTGGTCTCACATGTTCAATTGATGGCTTTCACTTCCAGTTCAGTTCAAAGCAATAAGGGTTGGGATGGGTTACTGACTGGATGTTCTTATAGATACCGATTCGGAAGGTCCCCGCGGCCGTACTGGCCGGCCTGAGACGCCCTCCTCCTCTGCGAACTCGTCTCGTTCTCGTCGCAGCACCCTCTCCCAGCGTGTCCACTTTGAAGAGCCCGACATGTGCAACCCGCTGGCATCTCCTCGTTCTGACGTGACTGTTACTCCAGTCCCGGTGTCTGTGCCTGCCAAATCGACCAACCCCAAGGTTGGTTTGCCTTCGACGAGTGTTGCAAACAGTAGTGTGCAGTCCCTGGACCAGTTGCCTGCACCTTCACAAGACAAGCGTAACGCGTTCGCCCAACGCAAAGCAAAAGCCTCTGCCCCCTCTGTCCCGCCTGCCCCTTCTGTTCCCTCTTCCCCCCACCCTCTTCGCTCTTCCATCCGTTCTTCTTCCATCCCACCTGTTCCTCCTATCCCTGCCTCGATCCTGAAAAATCGACCTGGCAATCTCGCTGTCCCCCAAATCAAACCTCGTTCCTCTTCTGCTCCGCCATCTCCACCCAAGATGGCTGACAGCTCCAATGTTCCGGAGGGCAACAACAAGCCACTCCCCTTGTCTCCTTCCAGCAGATACGACCCTCACACGCCGAGTCCGCGTACACCCATCTTCAAAAAAGATGGCCTGCGCCGTCCCAGCCTCAGTCCAATGGAACGTACGACTGGTGCCAGTTCCACCACTGGCAGTCCTGCCACTCATCGTTCCAGCTTGACCCTCAAGGATCTTCCTGAGGCTGTTCGATGTCTCCAGTACAAATATGAGACAGACTTCAAGCGACTCACAAAGAAGATCGACGATATCGAGAAGCTCGAACGGAAAGTTGATGACTTTGTTACCTTGACTCGAGAATACGTCCAGGATCAAATGGATGCCCAGTTTGACCGCCAGTCTGAGGTGTCTCTCGAAATTATCAACGCGAGATGTGACGCGACTGAAGCCAAGGAGCAAGTTCACGACCTCAAGGAGCAGGTCAATGAGATCAAGGAGCAAATTCACGAAATGCGACTTGAAATCAACGGACACACCTCGACTGTCAATGACCTGAGCGCCAAAGTCGACATGTGTCTCACCGGAATCTATGACAATACCGCAGAGCCGTTTGTGGTCTACCAGCGTCGCAAGAACAAGGAGATCGACGAAGATATTCAAGACATCGGAGATCAAACTGTCGACCAGGGAGCGAAGATCGACTACCTGAGACAGCTGGTCATTCGCACTCAGATTGCTCTGAGAGTCTTGCAGCACGAGCACGGTCTTGAGATTTCTGAAGATGTGGAAATGATTCTTCCACCCACCCCTTTGCCTGTACGCGACACCGTTCCACCTACTGGTACCCTGAGAACTCTTGCGTCCTCTGCGTCTGCGGCAATTCCACCAGCAAAAGCCGCTGCTCCAGCACAGAATACTCCTACAGCAAAGAGCGCTTCGCAAGCAAAGGCCACTCCGCCAGCAAATACCATTCCGCAAGTAAAGGTCACTCCTCCAGGAGTAACTCCGCCAGCATCAGCCACCGGATCAGCAACAGCCAGCGGATCAACAACCATCACTCCGCCAGGATCGTCCACCGTGAAGCCGAGTTCCATCCCACGGCGTAAGAAGAAGAAGAGCTCGAAGAAGTCTTCCAGCGTGTCCTCCGGCTCCACTGTTGCGAACCAGACCGCTACCACCGAGGAAGAGACAGCTCCCCCTGTCCCCCAGGTCCCCCACGGGATCATCCTGCCCCTCGATGCTGCCCGCGACACGCCCAATATCCCTCTGGGCCACATTCACCCACTATACAGGCCACAGTTCAGTGGGATGAACGCGGAGGACATTCCCGCGGCCGCTTCTACCCCCCGGACCGAGGAGCGTTAAGGCCCTCGTGTCCACTGTTGAGTTCTGGAGTTGCTCGCAGGTATGCGAACAACTCCAGAACTGAAAAAAAAGATGCAATTACAAAGAAAAACACAAAAAACAACCAAAAAAATTTAAAACGAAAACCCTCAAAAAAAAGTAACCCCCAAAAAAGAAAAAAAAAAAAAAGGAATGTACAAGTGGTCGTCTCATTGTTTGATTTGGAGGACATGGGGTCAAATTTGTTAGATTTTGTTATGTCAATGAAGATGTTTGATTACAATTCCCAAGAAGTGTAGATTGTAGCGGAATGTGCATGTAAAATTAATCAAAACAGTATTTACTTAGAAGAGGAGATCATCATCTTTTCAATCTCGATGGCCGACTCTCGCACCTGTGGACAGTAATGCAGACGCAACAGTTCACCCTCCCATACCGAACCAGCAAAGACGTTGGTAGCTTCAATATCAGCAGCAAAAGCATTGAACACACCATCACCCTTACGCTCCTCCGTATGCCATAGCGAAGAGATACGACGACCATGATATTTCGAGACCTGGTTCATGAGCGCAAGAGTCGCAAGGGCAGACTTCTCCGGCAACTGGAGGGAAGTCGTCATGAGACGCTTGGAGAAACTGGCAAGTCGGCTTGGGGGTGGGGTGCCGTGTGCGCGGGATAGCAGGGTTGGCTGCAAGCAGCGGAGGAGGAGGACCATCGGGGTCTGGAAGTTGACCTTGTTCTTGGAGCGGGACTCGGAGAGTTGTTTGCCTTCTGCGGAGGAGTTGGGGTCGGGGAGACGGAGGGCTGTGTCAGGGTTGAACTCGACGTCTGGGTTCATAGAGAGAGAGTAGAGGGATCGGTAAAGGTGCTTGATAAAGAAGGTCAGGTCGAGGTGAAGACCTGCGGCTGCTTTGCTGGCTTCTTGGCCTTCCAGAAGGGCGAAAGCAGTCACAGTGCAGAGTAGCGTCCTTCGGCGAGCATCACGGGCTGCGCTTTCGGCAATTGTGGCATTGTCTTCGTCTTCGTCGTCGTCCTCCTCGTTGACGACTTCCTGGTCGCCTTCCACACCCATTTCCTCGCGCTCGGCGTGGTTGATTAGGTCTTTCAGGGCTTCGAGCAAATCACCGAAGAAGTCCTGATTGATAAGGTGGGCGTATTTGGCCAAACCCTCAAGCACAGAACCCATCAATGCGGGAATGCGGAGCTTGAGAATGCGGAAATAGAGTCCGAACACAAGCTTTAGTGTTTCGGCCTGGTTCTTGTCTCTTTGTTCGTGCGATACCACTGCGTCTGCTTGTCGCATATCCTTCTCGACTTCCTTCCGCTCCTTCTGAACCTTGCGCTCTCGCTTTGTGCGGAATTCGCGCTTTTGCTTTTGCTTCTTCCCTTTGGGGGCTTCTTCTTCTTCCCGGTCAACGCGGTCTCGGGACGCCTTCAAGTGGAACTCGCCGAGCAAACGAAGATGGAGGAATGTGTCTAAGACACTGGGGTGGATGTGAAAGTCTCTGGCCTTCAACATCTTTGCGAGCAAACGAACAGCTTCGAGGGAAACAGTTCCATCGTCATCTTTGGCAAAAACCTCTTCCATAGTTTCACGGCACTTGACGTAGTCCGCGTCAAGCTGTCTCCGTGCCAGGCGGTTAACCAAAATCTTCAGAAGCTCACTGCGGAAGTTGAAGTGTGGCACGGCCAAGAGCATAGTGCATGCCATTGAAAGTGCGAAACTCCTCAGTCCAGGATCTGTGGGGTCATCTCCTTTAGCCGGCTTTACGAGCGTAGCAAGCTTCTGAACATAGGCTCGATATCCTGACACAAGGGACTGTTCGAAGTCTCGGAGCTTCCGCACTTCTTTTGATACCCTGCCAGTCTGGTCCTCTTCGCTCAGCGGACGAATACGGTATCCTGGGATGACATCCTTGTAGATGGCCGCTTGTGAAGCCAGGGCCAGTTTCTTAACCGTGATAGGTGTGGACTTCTTCGACACCATCTCGGCCATTGTCTTGAACAGAGAGATGTGCTCTTCGGGATCCTCGTTGATCAGAGTTGCCATCTTCGCTAGCTCCTCCTTTGCCTGCAAGATTTGTACCTTCACCGGAATCTTGGGTGCTTCTTCCTCAGGTTCTTCTCCGTCCTCCTCACCCTCGGATCCATCCTCCTCCTCATCATCATCGGTACCCAAGAAGCTGTCGGTTTCCTCACCCTGGTCTTCAGGCTGGGCTTCGGCCTGGACGAAGCCTTCAGAGGTCTTGATTGGCAGTCGTGCGTTCTCGCCGGCTTTCTTGGCGTTTTTGCGCGGGCGGCGTTCGTAGTCTTGCTCAACATCCCACTCTTCGGCTTTGGAGCGTGATGAAGAGTCCTCAACATCTGCTGGAGGACTCAATCGTCTCCGCTTCACTTCTGGGCCACGCGCCATTTTGTAATTGGAGATTTGGGGGATTGACGGTGGAATCTGCGGAGAATAGTAAAAAAGATCTTTAGAGTGAAAAGGCGGTCCCGAAAATTCTAGGCGGAAGGACAATAATTGCTCTGATTGGCTCTTCATGTCCGTTCCGTCGCTATAAATTTCAGGTCCGTTCCTTGGCGGTGAGATATTGCCCGACTTTAGTTTTTTTCTTGTTCCTCACTTCCCGTCAATACAAGCTCGTTGCTACTCAACCTTTTTGTCATATCTTCAGCTTCATATCCGACAATATGAGATCCCTCACAGAAGTGCGTACTTATGCCATTATCATTGACTACTTTGACTAACTCATGCCTCTTTTAGGAAGAGACACGGACGCTCTTCACGAAGCTAGCTTCCTACACCGGCCGCAGTCTCAATTCTCTTATTACCCCCGCCGAAGATGGAACTATGAGTGTTTTCCGCCTGCAGGGATCCCGAGTTTACTATGTGAACAAGGAAATTGCCAACCTGAGCGTTTCATTCCCTCGCGAAGCGTTACTCTCATGCGGCACTATGATAGGCAAATATACTAAGGCCCGCTACCATTAACCCTGCTGTTATTCTAGTCAGCCATACTAACATTCTGACAGACGGGCAAGTTCCGCATCAACCTGACAGCTCTGGATCTCCTGGCGCAACACGCCCGGTACAAGGTACGTATAACAATACAGGCATGCAACAAGACATCATGCTGACTCTATATTTCTGGCACAGGTCTGGATCAAAGCCAATGGAGTGATGGTAAGCTTGATATTCCAATTTCCGTTAGGGTCTGGTCTGCGGCCCTTGCTAACAAGTCTTAGCCTCTGCTCTATGGCGGTTCGGTTCTAAAAGCCCATGTGGCTCGTTTCAGTGAAGATGTCCCAGAAAATGCCGGAGTTATCATCATGGACTCCAACGATGTCCCCCTGGGCTTCGGAGTTACAGCAAGGTCATCCGCGCAGATCGCAAAATTGGACCCTACTAGTATCGCGGTTCATCGCCAGGTAGGTGGAACTTGGCTCTGTGCTCTTACTTACATTAACTAACCCGAATAAATAGGCCGATGCAGGAGAGTACCTTAGAGAGGTGAGTCGGGCCTATGTTCAAATTCTCATGGACCAAATTGCTAATATCTATATTAGGAGGATACTTTGTTCACAACCTAAGCAAATTCGACACGACACCGAATCTTACATGTTTGCACCTCGCAAAAAGGCGTTTGGGAGTTTCACCTGATCTATTTGATCTTACAAAAGTTGACTGTACTTTTTCCCATCGAAACCTGTGTTCATTGCTTCTAATGTGATGAATTGATGGCAAATGTTGACCAACAACTTCTCTGTAATGGTTACTATATGAAAATATACTCTGAATACACACAAATCCATTTCTAATATGTATAAAGAAAATCAATAGTCATTGCCAAGTTCATCCATGGATATGTATAGCTCAGGTTATAGTTGATATAGGACTTTTCGGAGATGTGATGAGTCAGCACGATGCGAGGTCAAATCCATCCAACCTTGGAAAGCCGCCGGACGATAACTCACTACAGACCTCGTAGCCCTGGTGTTTCTCGTATCTTCCAGGCCAAACAGAAATTCTCTCGCTCCAGCACTACAAACCACGCCCTTTCAATCCCCTAGCGTGTTTCTACCACTTATTGCATTTCGCCTGCGCGTAGTAGTGGGCACAAATATTGCCAACCCCCACCATGCCACCCTACACAACCAGCCAAAAACACCAAATCGCTGATTTTGTCAGCTGTACGCAGACAAAAGACTCAGTTGCTGTTAAAGTGAGTAACTTGCATGCTTTTCTGATATGTTCTTCCTTATACGATCTGTTTGAACATCTTTAAGACACTTCTGCCAGGTCACGTGGATCAACAGACTAACTTTCTGATATAGTTCCTTAAAGCATGTGGTTGGAGTTTACCTCCCGCGCTTGATGCGTAAGTGCTTGTCATCACACTTGTGTCAAACTTTGGTGTCTCTTTGTTTCATTTATCCCCAACCTTTACTTGGACATGTGGTGTTGGGTCCGAGATGCCAACAGATAGCTAGAGCATCAAAGCTTCAACATTTGTTCTTCTCTTCTCAGGGCTTGTCTAAGTCCCACTTGGAGAAATTCTTGGCCTCTTGCTACATCGATCATCATCCCAAATGCCTCGAGTGAAGAAGACGAAGAAGAAGTGCTTGTCATTCCCTACAATATCCCCAATCACCTTGCTCCAGCGAAATCATATATGGTCCACGCTTTGAAACACACCAAAGCTAATGCTACCATTGAAATAGTTTCTTCGCCGCTGCGTCTGGCACCTCCGCAAGTATAACCTCAGAACTTACAAAGACCTTCGACCACTACCGAGGTACTTACCCACCCTAAACTGATGCTTTTGATACCGAAAATACTCATACTCACATCACCACAGATGACCCAGTCGAAAGCCCAGATACCATCGGTATCACACGAGCAATAGAGTTCCTCGGTGATCTGAAGGTCGAGCTCGACGAAGTGACCTGTCTAGCCATCGCCGAGCTCCTCAAATCACCATCGATGGGCGAGTTTACCCGCGAAGGATGGAGGGAAGGATGGCTTGGAGTTGGGTAAGTGCAACTTTGTCAATGAAGACCCCCTCCAGCCCAGACTCAACCGTCCCAAATATGATATCAACACAATCTAACAACCCACAAGCTGTGACACCATACCAAAAATGCAAGCGCACGCCAAGCTCCTACGGGAGCGAATCCCACAAGATCCATCCCTCTTCCGACGAGTCTACAGATACGCATTCCCGCTCTCACGAATGCAAGGACAGCGCAACCTGCAATTCGAGATCGCCGCCGAGCAGTGGCGTCTCTTCTTCACGACTGATCATGGCGGTGTGGCGTGGAACACGGCGACGACGCCCTGGCTGGATTGGTGGATTGAGTTCCTTGAAGAGCGCGGGAAAAAGCCTGTTAATAAGGATCTGTGGGAGCAGGTTGAGGTGTTTATGCGCAAGAGTCTCGAGGATGAGGAGATGGGCTGGTGGAGTCCTGATGGGGCTTGGCCTGGTGCGCTGGATGACTTTGTTGCTTGGGTGCAGGCTAAGCGGGGGAAGGGATCAGAGATGGAGGTTGAATAAGGTGACATCTAGTTTATTCGTGGATTCTGGATATGAGGGATTTGTTTCTGCTCGTCTCCAGATAGGTTGCGCCATGGTGTGTTGTGTGGCATGACAGATGATTTACTCTTCATAATCCATGTCTCCTTGTACCTTATCCACTTCTATCATCCACTAACATCCTTCCTGTGTCTCGGATATTTTATAGTTATGATTGAATCAACGATGGCCACGTGTACCCGCTTCATGTCAAGGCTGGTTGCATTTCTTTTGGTTTTATCTATCCCGACTTGCATGTGTATATTGAAGTATAGATTGGCAGAGGTAGAAGCAATGGTGCGACTAGCTCAAACGGAGAAAAAGAAATATGTATAATAATACCGATCTTCAAGGGGTGGAATTGAAATAAGAGAAAGATATAAAGCCATTCGTCATGAAATTGAGTGATAACATCAGGGGGAAATATCTGCGGCATATCAAGATGCACAGGGGGTGTGTACATGGATTTAGATCAACACCGGAGAATAATAAACAAAGGAAAAGGATAAATCGGTGACAGCAAACGGGCCAAAAGAGACGACACACATAGGTCTTCGACACGTCCGGTTGTGTTTGCAGTCAATTGCGAGCTTGGTCCATTTAAGGGAAGTCGCGCTTCTCGTAGCCGGGGTCGCGACGCTGGTCGTAACGCTGTCGTGTCATTAGCAATTGAGCCGCAATTTGTCGCAATTCCAACGAGTTGTATCATACCTTCCGGAGAGCTTCCAGACGCTTCTTCTTGGTGTGGGTGTTGACGTAGGTTCCAATGAAGAATCCGACAATGTTGAAGAAGGGCACCCAGGCGTGCTCGGGGAGGAACTTCTGGGCGAAGGCCAAGCACAGGGGCGAGGTGATCCAGCTGACCTTCATGACGGGCATGAATCCAGCCTTAACGGTCGCGCGAACCTGGTGGATGGTGCGCGCACCGGCAATAATAGCCATGGACGTCAGGTAGACGCTGTTCTGGATGGGGGAGATCTGGGGAAATGGGTGACGTTAGCGAAGCTCATGCGGGTCAGGTGATGTCAGCGACGACGACGTACAATCAGATTGCTAACGAGAATCTGAAGAATCTTGGCCTTGAGACTTGTGCGGCCGGCGAAGATCTTCTGCAAGATGCCAATGAGGACGTGGCCGAGGGGGGCGCTGATGAACATTCCGTACAGCGACATCTTGGGGATGCGCGAGCTGAAGTAGTGGCCGTGCTTGCCGACATCGTGGGCGATCCATGAAGCCAGCAGTTCCTGCAGACCGGAGAGCACACCGGAGGTGAGCATCTTCGTGCGCAGCGGGTTCTTCTGGAGCTGGAGGAGGTAGGCCTATTGACGATCCATTCCTCGGATCAGTGTCGGTTCGATGTTATTGGAGGAGGGGGGACGCTGCATACCTGGAGATACCCAGCCGCTGTCTTTCCACCGGTCAATCGTTCACCGACGCGGTGCACGAGGTCCTCGGGCTTGCCGCCGCCCGTGACGGTGCGGACGGTCTCCTCTTGGAACTTAACGGACATTGTGGTGATCGGAGGGGGTTGGGGGAGGACAGGATTCTGGAGGGATCAGGAGGGCTCTTCAGATTAGACACGCTCCTAAAATAAGTTAATAATTGAATAGGATTAATATGTAATGGATGATAAGGTGCCCAAGTGGAGAAATTGAGAAGAGGATGGGGGGTGAGACCGGGGGGGGTCTTGTTTGTTTATGTTGGATGTTGGCCCGAGGGTGGCTGGGATAGGATAGGACAGCCGAGGCCTTCCAATATAGAACTCACACAAAATATCTCAACTCTGTTGAAGTATATATATGTAAAAATAAATTCTGTCGGAAGATTATATCCTAGAAATGGAGACGGCTATACGAACAATCGGCAGATGGATCCCCGGCGAGATCCATTGGCGGAGCACATCGGAAACCCCCGACGGCTTTTGGTTGAATCCGGGGGCTTTGACGGCTGTTACCCCTTATTAGTTACCATTTTGTCGAGCATGTTGTATGTGGATATATGGTTTCCATATAGATCCTAATTATCCATATTGGAAGTTTTACCATTTGTTATTTTTGGTACAATGCCCAGGGCTTTAATGGCCACAGGACACTTCTCACCTCCATGTAGACTTGAGAATTGTCCCTTTTCAAAGATTCTTGTGGTTTGTGTTTGATTTGAGCTGGTTACTCAAGACTTAATGAATACATATGTAGAGATGTGGGACCTGTCAGTTTAGTTTGTAGGGTACATATCCGTCAGTTATATGGAGTACAACATGTAGATATATTACATTCTATACTTGCATGTTATACTTGTGTAAAGTTTGAGAATTTAATTGTCAATTACCCTTTGGCGCCTTTATCTTCAATGTCTATAGATCTGCAGTAGTCTGAGAATCTAACATTCAGTTTACTAGTCCATGTTCTTCCCATAAAGGGTTCCGGGGGTAAAATAATAAAAGAGAATCACCATATTCCCACATGGTTGACAGGTATAAAGCAAGCCTTTGTGCCACTCAACCTTTTTATGGATTATGGCGTGTCCCACATTTCAGCCAAATGTATAGATAGACCAGCGAGCAGCAACAGGACCGGAGCGAATATACATGCACAGATTGGTGATCCCAATATCAGACATATACCGGGCCGTAAAAATGACTATCACCACGGCTGCGCTGTCTGCCGTTCGAATAATATTCCCAGCGAATAGCAATGGGTCCATGGGAAGCTCGCATATGACACTGGGGAAATGGCCACCTGGGATATAAGGAACATACCAGCGAGTTGTTGCCGGTGTTGTCGTCAGGGCTATTGTCATGCACCACGATGTCATCAGATCATCTATCAACCAGCGAACGACTCAGCGAATCCAACGAATTCAACGACTCAGCGAAGGACTTAGCGACGATGTCATGGATGGACCAACCCATAGACCGCTCCTCACACCTGATGCCATCTGTTCTCCACCATTTCATACCATCTCGTCCTTGATCAATTTGACTCCAATAATTCCTCTTCTCTTGCGTGCAGTCCTTCTGGCAAACATCCACGAGACCTTACCCTTCATATTTTCTTTCCAATTCACAACAATTTATCTGTCGGGGACGAGACACCCCGACGCGACACCACATGTCTTTGCGCCACTCCAACATGGAGGTCCTGGAGTCTTCTGGTTTCCGAGCCGAGTCACAAGGGCCCCGAGACATCGTCGAGGGATGCGACGACTTCAGAGATAGTCCCACCCTAGTTCTGTCGCTCATCGCTACCGAGAGCGACGAACCTGATGCAGTTAATGTAGGCCCCGATGAAGGCGCAGGCTTTGTGGGCAATATTCAACAGTACTTCCAATTGCGCCGTCACAGAAATCATGAGTGGACCACTCGCCATGGTGGCCTCGGCCTTGTTCGCCAGAATGTCGGATTCGCCGGTCGCCACGATGGACTTGGGTTCCGTCGGCGGATTCGTGAATTCGCCAGCCGCCTAGTCAATCGATACCGTCACTGACGAATGGTCAGACGACATGGCAATGCCCTCGCCAGCCACCAAGCTAGGAACAACGAACACGATATCGAAAATCATGATTCGACGCTCAGACAATTTGAGAACCTGCTCGCCGCTCGCTAGGCTGGTAGAAGCCGACAGAGTATCGAATACCACAATTCCCAGCATGCACATAGATTGGCCACCGAAAATTCTGATGATGATCTACCAAGCGACCGGAGTTCTCAATTACGACGCGGCAGATCCCTTCGACGATAGAAGCAAATTCAGCGACGCATTTTCTGAGGTGGGGGTAGCAACCAGTCATCGAAGGAATATTCTGGAGAATGACGAGGCAGAAGGCTTCCATGAGCCTCAAGCATTGTTAGGGATCCGCGGGCTGTTGGCCGTCATGTCAGACCGGGGATATGAGGATGGTTCAATATCCACCGATGGGAATGCGGGCGGTGATGATGATGATGATACGGGGTGGAGGTGGACAGCGAGATGTGCCCTTCTACGTTTCGTTGCCTACCTCACCAAAACCCCCATCCCGCAAGAGTCTGATGAGGAACTCTCAACCCTTGTGCCCCGTATCATCTTCACTCTCCCAGACCCAGCGGGGTATATAAATACTTGCCTTCCTACATTCAAGGGAGGAAGAAGTCAGGGGAAGAGGTGGAGGTGAGGTGAGGCCGCAGTCAGGCGTCGGTGAGTGGGGGGCATGTATATACATGTGAGAGATGAAGGGTGGAACTCGGATTCCACATGTGAGAGCCGGTGATTTTCCCCCAAAATGAAGAATTTTCAAGGATGATCAAGTAGAAATAAAAGTCACTGACATCTAAATTTATAAATGTAAATGTAAATAATATTAAATTAGGTATTCTGAACACTCATAGGTATATGTAGCAAACCAAGTACGTCAACCAGATTAAGATATCCAAAAGATACACCTGGGCACCATTTCCGGTGACCTGCCTGTGTACATATTGATGCAGTATACTACAAACTAGCAAGATAAAAAAAAAAAAAAAAAAAAAAAAGAGAGATATGTAGTTGTATTAATTATTATTATATGAATCAAGTCGAAGTATAGCTACCTAGGCAGTTAGGCGATGACTAAAATGCTGGGGGATAACCCTCGGAGATTAGATCGAATTTCCTTAAGTTCCGAGCCTCGGTTCCGCTTGTGCGCTTCCACCCAACCTCAAGTACATTTCGTTTCATTCCATTTCTCTTTTTCTTTCTGATGCTATTCATACACCATGCCAGACCCTGAACACCCTCCAGGCGAGGGAACTGATATCCAGGCGGGGAAAGCCCCCGCCGGGAGCTCATGCGCGAAGCGACAACTGCTAGCCGCCTTGACAACAACTGATGTGACAATCCGCCGGCTGGATCTGTAAGGCCCCCTTCGACCCTGATATGCCAGGCCGAGATTTCGGCGCTCGACTCGGATTAAGAATATTGCTGACCGTTCCTGCAGATTACTCTCGGAGGCAAACGGACAAGAGCGAGTACTAGCGACTGTCAACTATGTCGCCTCAATGCTGCACCACCTCACTGCGTCAGCGCCCTGGATAGCATTACAAACAAGACTGGGTATCCTTGCACGGTTGAAAGGTCGTGTACCCACCAAGAACGTCACTCCTGCGTCGTCAAAATCGAAATTCGCGGCCCTTTGCTCCCTCGCATCGGAGACAAGATACAACTTACGCCTGTTTGGGCTGCTACCTTTGTGGATCTGGGGAGCTGAAACCCTCAAATCACCGCCAGCCGACCCCATCCTCCACGCTCTGACCGTCCTACAGGTCATCTCGAATGTGATTTACCAGCTTCTCGAGAACGTGGGGTACCTTGCATCCAAGGGCGTTGTCTCAAAGCGCTTCGTGGACAAATACGGAGGCGTTGCCAAATGGGATATTTGGAGTACTCGTGGATGGTTCGGGCACATCTTCTTCCAGTTCTTCGTGCTCTGGCGCCAGAGTGTGCTGCGCAGACAGCGGTTAGCTGCACAGCGAGCGGCTGCCGGCACAGTCGAGACTAAAGAGACCAAAGCTGAAGATAGTGAAGCGCTACGTTTGGAGATCCGGGCTTGGCGAAAGAGCATGGTGAATAATGTCATATGGGCACCATTGTGTCTGCACTGGTGTGTTGAGAAAGGCATTGGTATTCCCGATAGCTTGACCGGACTTATCAGCTTCTGTGCCGGGGCTTGGAGTCTTCATGACTGCTGGGCTGGAACCGCAAGTGTTAAAGCATAGATATCGGACTGCCTGTGATGGTCGTCGGTTTTTTCCCCTTCGTTTCTTATTTGTACAAATCCCTTTCTACTTGCACATATACCTGGTGTTGACAGCGCGGATGGTTTGTTGTTGGCTTTTGGATTTTATAGCCCTACACCGATTTTTCGAAATATAGAACTGCCTTGACACATTCTCTCCAATGAATATAGCAGGGTTGGCGTTTCCTTCGATCTAAGCCTTTGCTAAAGATACCATTTCCTTTTAAGTGTATGGCATTCCTACATCCTCTAAGCACTTGCACAAGCTAAACAGGGCTCCATATGAGGACTTGGCAGATTCGACGTTGTCTGGCATTGCTTCTATGGTGCTGAGCATGGGCTTTATTACTTCGTGGGTTCCTTGTCTTAGTCTAACCACATGGGGTTGGAATTTCTTTAATTTTGAGGGAAGTGCACCGTGGCCTTTCTGTATGATTGCCCTTTATAATTGCTGTGGTTGTAATCATGCCAGGGTTAGTATTGTAAGGACCTTGGTAACCATATTGACTGTAACTGTTACCAGCTGTTGCCCCAGGCATCAAGGCTCCCAATCGACTGAGTTCCATGCGCTTCGTTGTGGCGGACAACGCGATGACATAAGCGCTGAGCTTAAGTCATCATCATCAGTTCTAAGAGCAGAGGTAGGAAGCTCAACATCATCATTCCTGTTACCTACCTTTATCTCCACTTTACCGCCGTCGGATTCGCTCTTTGATTCTGATCTATCGGTTCATTTTTTCATTTCCAGTACTCACATCTCGTTCCATTTTAAATCCGTGTCTCGCTCCGCCTGTTTCTGGGCACTGGACACCTTTGTTCACTCAAGCTTGCTTCCATCAACGTCACGACCTTATTTACGGCCATCATGTCTTCCGAGCCGGATCACACTCACGACAAGAAGAGGGTCCACTTGCAGTAAGTTTTATTTGAACACTTTTGATTACTGAGTATGCTAACCGGGCTCCAGGGACGCCTCGGGTGCTGAGAAGAAGGAGGTAGGCATAGGCTACAGGACAGCTCACAAAAGCCTCGGAACTGACAAAAAATGCAGGAGCTCGATACCTCCACCGCCATCTTGAAGAAGAAGAAGAAGCCCAACTCCTTGATGTGAGTAGCTGATAAGAGATATCTGTTGAGAGCAAGGAGCTGACAGTTTTCGTGCAGTGTGACCGATGCCGTTAACGATGATAACTCGGTGATTGCTCTCTCGAACAACACCATGGAGACCCTCCAGCTCTTCCGTGGTGATACAGTTCTCGTGAAGGGCAAGAAGCGCAAGGATACCGTGTTGATCGTCCTCGCCGATGACGATCTCGATGATGGAAGCGCCCGCATCAACCGTGTTGTGCGTCACAACCTTCGTGTCAAGCACGGCGACATGATCACTGTGCACCCTTGCCCCGATATCAAATATGTAAGTTGGGCATTTCCACGTCATTTTTACCATAATCCACTGGCTAATTCTATCTCTGTGATCTAGGCCAAGCGCATTGCTGTCCTTCCAATCGCCGATACCATCGAGGGCCTGACTGGTTCTCTCTTCGATGTCTACCTCGCTCCCTACTTCCGAGAGGCCTACCGACCAGTCCGACAGGGTGACTTGTTCACAGTACGAGGTGGCATGAGACAAATCGAATTTAAGGTTGTGGAGGTCGACCCTCCCGAATATGGCATTGTTGCCCAAGACACAATTATTCACTGCGAGGGTGAGCCCATCCAACGAGAGGATGAGGAGGGTAACCTCAACGAGGTTGGCTACGACGATATTGGTGGATGCCGCAAGCAGATGGCTCAGATCCGTGAATTGGTCGAGTTGCCTCTCCGTCATCCTCAGCTCTTCAAGTCCATTGGTATTAAGCCGCCTCGTGGTATCCTCATGTACGGTCCTCCCGGTACCGGTAAGACCCTGATGGCTCGTGCTGTTGCCAACGAGACTGGTGCTTTCTTCTTCCTGATCAACGGTCCCGAGATCATGTCAAAGATGGCTGGTGAATCCGAGTCCAACCTACGCAAGGCCTTCGAGGAGGCCGAGAAGAACTCTCCCGCTATTATCTTCATTGATGAGATCGATTCCATTGCCCCCAAGCGTGAGAAGACCAACGGTGAGGTCGAGCGCCGTGTCGTTTCCCAGCTGCTCACCCTCATGGACGGTATGAAGGCCCGTTCCAACGTTGTGGTTATGGCCGCTACCAACCGTCCTAACTCCATTGATCCTGCTCTTCGTCGCTTCGGCCGTTTCGATCGTGAGGTCGACATTGGTATTCCCGACCCAACTGGCCGTCTTGAGATCATGCAGATCCACACCAAGAACATGAAGCTTGGCGAGGATGTCGATCTGGAGACCATTGCCGCTGAGACCCACGGTTACGTCGGTTCTGATCTTGCTTCCCTCTGCTCTGAGGCTGCTATGCAGCAGATCCGTGAAAAGATGGATCTCATCGATCTTGATGAGGACACCATCGATGCCGAGGTTCTTGAGGCTCTCGGTGTCACCATGGAGAACTTCCGCTTTGCCCTGGGCGTCTCCAACCCCTCCGCTCTCCGCGAGGTTGCTGTGGTCGAAGTTCCCAACGTTCGCTGGGACGACATTGGTGGTCTCGAGGAGGTCAAGCGCGAGCTTGTCGAAAGTGTCCAATACCCCGTGGACCACCCCGAGATGTTCCAGAAGTTCGGTCTCTCACCTTCTCGCGGTGTGCTGTTTTATGGTCCTCCTGGTACTGGTAAGACCATGTTGGCCAAGGCTGTTGCCAACGAATGTGCTGCCAACTTTATCTCCGTCAAGGGCCCTGAGCTATTGAGCATGTGGTTCGGTGAGTCCGAGAGCAACATCCGTGACATCTTCGATAAGGCTCGTGCTGCTGCTCCTTGTGTCGTCTTCCTTGACGAGCTGGATTCCATCGCCAAGTCTCGTGGTGGTTCCGTCGGTGATGCCGGTGGTGCCTCCGACCGTGTTGTCAACCAACTTCTTACTGGTAAGTTTTCGCTGTTACATTCTTTTTGTTTTTGCTCCGAATAATCACTAATTCCCCAACAGAGATGGACGGTATGACTTCCAAGAAGAACGTCTTCGTCATTGGTGCTACCAACCGTCCCGAGCAGCTCGATGCCGCTCTGGTCCGTCCTGGTCGTCTTGACACCCTGGTCTACGTTCCCCTGCCTGACCAGGAGTCCCGTGAGGGTATCCTCAAGGCCCAGCTCCGCAAGACTCCTGTCGCCGGTGACGTCGACATTGCTTTCATTGCCAGCAAGACTCACGGCTTCTCCGGTGCTGATCTCGGCTTCGTGACACAGCGTGCCGTCAAGCTCGCCATCAAGCAGGCCATTTCTGCCGACATCGACCGCCAAAAGGAGCGCGAGGCCGCCGGTGAGGACATCACGATGGCCGAGGAGGATGAGGATGT